CTGCCCCTCCATATTTTCATTCATGGTCCATCTACATGCTGTGTAGGTGTTGGAAACTATTCTATTGGCTTTAAAGATTGCACACCTCTCAACAGACCAGCTATCCCTCAGTCTCTGACAATACAAAAAGTCGAAGGCAAACTACGTCAGGTCTACTAATCCTTACAACTCAATGATGTGCCAAAGCCGGTGCCAGGTTCTAGTGAGTTTCTGGTCAATATCCACGCTGCCGCTTTGAAGCATCCAAATTTCGTCATCCAACAACACTTGCATCCCGGCATATCTTTTACTTACCCCCTTTTCTATATATGATGGCTGTGGCACCATCGTCCATACCCATCTAGATTGCAGTATGGCGACCTTTTCTGGTGTTGTACCGAAGGCGCCACGCATTTTGAAACTAGGTGGTCTTATTTTCTGTTACGGAGTGACAGTGGCTCCTAAGATTGACTTTGCGATGGTGGCTGCTGTCCTAAAGCAGATCGATTTAAGAGGCTCTTTTACTAGTTCGAGGTCAGAGCTTAAAATTCGTTGGAGAGAACAAGATCAGGCCAGCCATAAGTCTAACTGTGAAAGGAGGGGATAATCTCATGCCACCAATGCATTATTTGGGAATATGAAGCTCGGCAAACAATTTGTTATCGAGGTGAATTCAACATTGTCGGGAACAGATCTGTAATTTGACACCAACATATAAGCGGTAATTATATCTTCACACAACTTGTTAATAATCAAGCTAAAGAGAAAGGCTCCGTATCACAAAATAAGTCAAATAATGTAAGTAAAAGCAAGCGTAGTGAATATACGTATCATTTTGAAAACCCTGACACTATCTATATATAACTTTCTATTTAATTCCTTATCTCAGGTTAGATATCCTTAGAACCACGAAATGAAGAATAATATCTTCAAGTTCTGAAAACACTTCGGATGCTATTACAAATCTCCATGATAGCTGTTAGTGAAGTAAAATTTGAAATGAAAGTTACCGGAATTAGAACACTCCAATCATATGACTCTATGCCGTGTCAAAACTCTATAGAAGAATAATAGTTACCACATTGTTGTACTTCCTATAAACCCCCCGCTAGCTTGGTACTAGTAAACGTAAGATCTTACATGCATATACTCCGTACTAATAGTGTCTCTCTTGGCTCTTAGCGGCATACGAAAGAAGCTGAATATGACATGACCTCCCCTATCTATCAAGGCCGGCTCGGTGCTCCGAATTAAAGTACGCGTATCGGCACTCCGAATTCTCGAAATGGAAACTTGTAAGCAGTTACTCGAGGAACCAAACTACTGATATAAATATTTGCGGTGAAACAGGACAATTTTTATGCTAAATATGTACTTCCCTTAATGAGCGCTTATAGAAGACAAACCCTCTCGCATCCCGAAGGAGTCGGCGGGCGCCTAAAGCAATAAGGTATTTCGGCACACTTAGCACGGAATAATCTGCGGCTGTGATCGGCTGTCCAGCTCGCAGCTAAGCACACATTATGATTTCTTTGAACTCTAAAAGATAATCTTCCGTTTGAAATATTTATGTTGTGAGCTGCAGGATGCAATGGCGCTAAGCCCATCCTGGCGCGCTATGCCTCCTCGGATGCCGCTTAGCCATTATTCACGGGATAATTACATAGGCTTCCACTCCTTAAAATTCGCTTTCCTTGGTCTTTTAAAATTGTTGGCAGTATAAAAGACTAAACTGATATTATTTATCTACCACTCTAGAATCTTGTTATAATATCACCGTTTCCTTATAAAAGTTAAGGTTATTAGGATTAAGATCACGAGATTAGGAAGTTGGAAACCTTTATATATGAGGATACCATTACACTTATACTATAAGACCTATCACTTTTCTTTACAAGTTATATTCCGTGGGCGGGAAATTCACGATTCCTTTAACTAAACATACCCACATATCAAGATGCGGTCGAAGTATAAATAGCCGTTTACTACTAACAAAAGTAGAAAGCTTGTCTCCGATTTAAGAAACACTTAAAAATCCGTATGGAAACTGACATGACCTTACGAGACATGCAGTAATCACTTTTTTCAAGATACAAATCTCTTTATAGTGTCACAAGTTAGTGACGTGCAATTGCATCACGTGCCATACACGTGCCATGACCTTCCTACGTTCACGCGCCTACGTCATTGAGGCTATTCCAAAGTCTGTGTGAATACAGCTTACTTCTCATTTCTATCTGAATACCTTTTATCCCTAACATTTCTTGCATTTATGTACAGGGGAATCTCCTAGAAGCTATATAAATTAGCTAGGATAAGAAAAGGCTGCTTCCTATTCCCTTCTTCCTCGGCAACAGATGCATGTAGCAGGTCCAGCCTGCCTGAGAAGTACCTTTAACCTACTAGAGCGCTCGGAGTTCAATTTGTCTGATGTAGACGGAATATACCCTTTCCCAGGACACGATAATGTCTATCAGTTCTCTTAGAGAGCGCTTCCTTCTAGGAATGACTTGCAATACTTATTGAATTTAGCATCTCAATAAAGCTTCCTCCTATGCTTTTTGAAGTCTAATGCCTATACTTTCTGCTTCTGTATTTGCCATTTTTTCAGTTGCAATTTTAGAGGGTATCGCTACAAAGGCCTATTCCGTATCCTTTCGAATTACGGTGATATCGGTTGTAGTTCCTATATTTATATTTTGGAAGCCAAACCTGCCTACTTAAATACGTAACTTCGCCACCTTTAGTAGCACAGATGTCATGATATCCACTATATCTTCAGATCGTAGTATTTCTAACATATTTCCTTCTAAAAAGTGAGTCGTTTGAGAAATGGGACTTGAAACGTCCAAGGCGTCTGAGATATTAAGGGTTGACGTGACGGGATTCTTTTCTTCGGGTGCTGTGCGGTCTTCCACGACCATGTCCGGCGAAGGCGAGAGGTCTTCGTCCTGAAATTTTTACTGGTTATTAAGACTCGTCCACACGCTTTAGTAGGGATGTAAAAAGTAAGCAATCAAAACTCTATGGCAAGTGTAGAGTTTTCGCTAAGAGAACTTTATTCCGCAAACGCCTTAATCATTTCACAGAAGTAGACTGTATGGTACTTGGTTATTTCTTGAATATCTAAAGTTCCCTACGTCTGCCTAATACTACCTATTCCTGACCGCTCTACTCCACATTTCTGTACAGACGGAACACGGTGACGGCGATGCGTAAGAGAGTTGGATTAAAATTTATGCGTCCTGATTAGTTTCAGTGGAGATGATACTCTAAGGTGCTCAAGACGCAACTATAACATGAAACAAATCGGACCGGTAAGGAGAGATAGGCGTTAAGGTAGCTTGGTTTATGAAGAGACATTAGACTATCAACGAGAGGCTTCATATGATAATACGGCTAAAATGGCACAGCTTTTGCATAGCATAATAACGCCAAGAAGCTAGTTATAAAACAATCCTTATATAGTAGATATATTTGTTAGTGTTAGAAATACAGCCCTCGCAGAGTTAGGTGACGCGGCTAGGGAACGCGTACGACGATATAAAATCCTCGTTTTCACCTACATAGTAGCTTTCTCCTTAAGCTAATATAACTTCTTTGATCCACTTCCTACCTTTATCTCCCTATCTAGCCTACGTGTCCTGCAAGAGTTCGTGATACTAGGAGGCATATAGTTTTGATAATTGGATTAATTAATTAAGAAAAATTATGCTATGCAAAATCTGTGCCATTATAGCCGTACCCTTGTAAAGGAAAAGACCTTGGTGATAAAGTTAAGTTGTAGAGAACGTGAGAGTGGCTAAGGTCGGTGGCTCGCTGTTCTTTCTCCACCAAGGGCTGATAAGCCTGATAGGGGTGCATGGTAGATCAGTTCGGCAATTGTGCTGACAGGGTAATTACCGTCTCTATTCTATTTTCCCGTGAAACGATCTCCTGCAAATCTTTAAACCTCTATGAAGGTGGCGTTACGTATGAAGCCCTCGGGAAGAGAGGCCATCACTAGAGTGCTGACATATACGGAATCTTTATTGGTTTAAAGGAGTAGATACCGCTAGTAAAGTGGGTATTTTCATTCTGATCAGCACATTTTCAAGGCGTTTGCAACCGCCCGCCTACAACGGAGTCTTATTTCCTCTCGTGTTTTGCTCTTCAAACTTGGATATCGTTGGGGGTTCCTAAAGAGTTCTAAATATAAAATCGCGGGGTAGTTCAATCCCGCCCTATCAAAAAGGCTTCGCAATACTTGAAAATCTTCAGTCAATGCCTACGCATCGCAAGAATCAAGAAATGCCTCCAAAAATAAAGGCAATGTTGATTGGAAGAGCTATAACGTGATAATATTTCTAAGCCTTTTGCGATTAGTTCAAATAAGAGAAGCACATGTTAAAGCCAAATTCGTCTGTCTACGTGCCATCGGTGGGGTCGGGTGTACTGCGGAGTCCGTAAACCCGAATGTCCTTGATCATGTCCCTCTGCCCTGTAGGAGAGTAGTGGTCTAAGCACTCCCCCTACTCCCTTTAGGAGTATTACTATTAAACATTAGGTTAAATTATAGGTATTACTACTATGAATATAAAGGGCGTAAGCAAATAATATTACTATAGCTAGGCCTTAGTAGAACTTTATAAGGACCTTATACTTCCTCTTAGGCCAAAAGTGGGAGAGGATATATTAAAGTTTAAATAGTAATACTCCCACTCGAGTAGAGGGAGTAGGAGGAATGCTTAGACTACTACTCTCCTATAGAGCAGGGGGACACGATTACATTCTTATTCAATTTATATAACGGGTATCGGCTTTAATTTATGCTTATATTCCCTGTGTTGCAACCCGTTCCGAGCCGCTCCGAGCCGATCCCGTACGGAGTAGTAAATGCAATTGTGCACAGGACGTGCCGCACTACCGATAGGGGCCCCGCGCCCCGTGGGGTACAAGAGATTGTTATAGAGACCGAAGAATCCATATCTTCACTCTGTCATCAAAAACAACTTGCAACACGCTGATATCCTCTTAATCCAATGGAAGATCTCATACAAGCCCTCAACCCATATCATGAAGTCCTACTGCTTGCGACTGTGGCGGGACTCGTCTCTCACCAAGGTTTCCGCAAGTACGAGCCCACAATCTCGGGCTTCCTAGGCGTCTTTTTTTCTCTTCAGGCCATAACCTTCCTCCAAAATTTTGTTCGGAATGGCTCCAGTCCCGAAAGTCTTGTCTCTAGCACGCTATTGGCGGCTATGTTCGGTGTGGTCTACTTGGGTGTGCTTGGGATAAGTATCGTCCTTTACCGGGTCTACTTCCATCCTCTACGGCATTACCCTGGACCCAAGCTGTCCCGAATCTCAAAGATTGAGTGGGCTTACCGCACTCGAGGGGGCCATTTCTACTTGCACATTGACAGATTACATAAAAAGGTAAAGTTCAATCCTGAAGCTTTAGCTGTGCCTGATTATTCTGACTTGTTCAGTATGGCGATATAGTCAGAGTGGGACCAAATGATCTCGCTTTCTGCGGTGTAAAAGATGTACCGCTCATCAATGGTCCTATGTCAAAAATGGCAAAAGGTGCACATATGGATGGATCTCCTTGGGCGAAGGCGCGCTCTGTCACCTTTGTGAAAGAAAGGGCCGAGCACAGAGCGCGACGCAGGATTTGGGATCAAGGCTTCACAACTTCCGCTTTGCAACAATATGAGCCACGTATTACGTCTCTGCTGGAAGCGGTTTCAGATCAATTCACAGCTCGGATAGGGCGTAGGTGTAGCCTAGGAAAGATAATCAGAGAGCCATATGCTAACTTTAGCGCAGAAGAAATAAATTTTGCCGATTGGACGTCGTTTTTCTCCTTTGATGCGATGGGAGATCTAGGATTCGGAAATGATTTTGGAATGGTCAAAAATGGTAAGCAAGAGAGGTCTGCATCGAATCTTTCGAATTATCTGACGTACAACGAGGTATACCTCATATGTATAAGGAATACATCCATAAAGCTTTAAAGATGCGCTCAGTTTGGATTAATCTCCCGTGGTGCAAGTATATCGTCAACTATCTGCCAATGGACGACGAAATGAAACAGCAGACGAAAAAGTTCGTCGATTTTGGAAACGAAAGATTTAATGCGCGCAAAGCAAAAGGAACAACCCGGGCCGATATTTTCTCTCATCTTCTTGCACAAGACGAGGAATCTGGAGGCAGGATGCCGGAAGCTGAGTTGCGGGAAGACGCCAAAGCAATTATTATTGCAGGGAGCGATACAACATCATTTGCACTTGTGTGAGCATCGATCCGTTTCTTCTGGATGCAATAGAAACTAATGCTGTCACAGTGCCGCACTCTTTCTTTTGGTCCAGAATGAGCAGGCATATGAAAAACTCGAAAAGGAAATCGACGCGCTGAATGCGAAAGGCCCGATGAGAGGAACCACCCTTGGTACACAATCTGCTCCTCCTAGTAGCTCTATACTCAACTTTTCTTAGGTCCTGAACAGGCTCCCTACCTCAATGGGGTTATCAACGAAGCTCTCCGCCTCTTTCCACCTGCTCCAGAGCCTACGCAGAGGACTTATGGAGAATCGCCGTACATCTTGAATGGGAACCTCATTCCGCCGCATACAAATGTAAGGTTTCCATATTTGCGCACCTTAACATCAATTGCTAACAACATGTCCACCCCTAGTGCTACGTCAGTAGCTATACCTTGGCAAGAGACGAAAGAAACTTCTCACAGGCCGAAAAATTTATCCCAGAGAGATGGATCGAGTCTTCTCGACCGGAGAAGTTTAACCACAACCGAAAGGCTTTTGTTCCTTTTGGCTCTGGGCTTTTCAATTGTGCTGGCAGGACACTTGCACAACTCGAACTACGCCAATTCATCGGAACCCTGTTGCATCGCTTCCACTTCAGTGCCGGACGTAACTTTAACCCCCAAGATTTCCTGTCAGCTCTCAGATCCAATGGGACTATGGAGTCTGGCAGTCTGCCCCTGTTGTTGACTGCTCGGAATGTAAAGTTGGAAGCAGCATGATAGGACAGACACTTCAAATGTTTTCAAATAGCCACTAGGTCACTGAATGATAAGTCTTGTAAGTAATGTATATTTATATCCTTTAGCTGGTTTCAAGTTCGGTGAGTGCGTGTGCGTGCACTGCCTATGTCTCTGGTGTCTGGTTGGTAGCGCTTATGTCAGCAGCTAATTCCAGCACAATCTTAACGCTCACGTGATATGTATTACAAGTTTTCTACTCCGTACGTAAGATTGTGTTCTTGGCAACGACGATCCTTGTGCCTGTGACGTTGCCATCCCGCAAGATTCAAGCACCACCAGCACAATTGCGGGGATGGCAGAAGTACTTGAGACACAGCCTCGACAGCATGGCATGATGGAAATAACGTCGAGGTAGGAATTCATCTCTTATGCATCAATTCCATTCCATTCCACTTGAATTACAACTTTGCCTGTCTGGCCTTCCTTCATACAATGCTCCGAGACAGCTAAGCTACTCTCTTCACCTTGTCCAATCAATCCACAGCAAAAGATTCCCTTGACACGCTGTTCTCGGTTTCGAACAATAAATCCAAGCATGTCTTCAGCGGCAGATTTCGATGAAGAAGCCGCTCGCCGCGACTACAAAGCACCCTACTCCCATAATCACCCTATACCTACCGTCCAGAGATACCGCGAACATCGTAGCGAGCTTGATGACAACTACAAACAAGCCGAAGAAGCACAGCACACCGAAGAAGACGACTCGCGACTCAAAAGGGCTTTCCATTCTGCAAAGACTGCCTTCAACGACAATGACGGAGACGAGAAACACCCAGCTGGCGACCCATATCCTACCTCAAATCGAAATATAGACTCGTCGGATCGGACATCCACCGACCACGACTCCAGTATCCCCACCCTTCCGTCTACAGGAACCGGGGAAGGGAAGTCTGCTAAGCAGAATGGCGATCAGAAACATGGGAAAGATGGGTCATCGGCCACTGAAGAAGCTGCCGCACATACAGACCCTAAGAAGAAACGGAAGGCGATGCAGCACAACAAACGGGATGATGGTGGACGAGAAGTGACAGACCCAATCACACATCTCCCTCTCATCATCCGAGACTCCACTGAAAAGGACCTGAAACGAGCATCTGAGAATGAACCGACCCCCGGGTCAAATCACAGATCAGGCACGGGCTTTAGCGAGTCATCGAAGTCCCCAAGCCAGCTCCAAACCGAACAAGACGAGCTACAAGACGATTTTGATGGGATGCGGAAGATGTTTCCTCCACCCGCCTTCGATGACACTCGCGCAGGGCTAACTCGCGTATATCAATCAGCATTGACCACAGCATTGAGCATCGTAGTAGGTCTTTCAGCTGTAGTTATAAGTTTATTACTATTTATGATTTCAACCTCCGGAAATACTGTTACGGAAACAAAATCCTGGTTATCAAATGAGCAAGGGAAAAATTCGAGCTGGCTATACCTGGTGTTGGTAATAGTCACATTAGTTGTATTCGTTGTTGGGTTTGCCGTGATCGTTTTGGTTCGAGGGTGGGTTGCGAAGAAGGTGCAGGCTATTTGGGAAGATGAGGTCTGGGATGCCGCGAGAGTCGAAGAACATAATTCAACCCAGTCAGGTGGACGTCTGCCTGAATCTGTTGCTTGGATGAACAGCTTGCTTAGTTCAGTCTGGCCACTCATCAACCCAGACCTGTTCACTTCTTTGGCCGACATGCTAGAAGATGTCATGCAGGCGAGTTTGCCAAAGGTCATCCGCATGGTCAGTGTGGATGACCTGGGACAAGGCAACGAAGCCATACGCGTTCTTGGTATTCGGTGGCTTCCTACAGGCGCCGCGGATCAGTCGGTAGACGAGGAAGGGAATCTCAAGAAGACCAGCAATAAGGAGGCGAATGACCGTGGCGCCCCGGGTGAAGGCCAAGAAGAGAACCTCGAGTCGAAGACTAAAGATGATGATGACCCTGAAGCTTCAAAGAAGAGTGAACAGGAGAAGAAACAGAAAGAGGAAGAGCAGCAAGCAATGCGCGAAGGCATGGAAGCCGAACAAGGCGACTTTGTCAATATGGAGCTAGCATTTGCATATCGAGCACGAAGCTCTGGTAAATCCATCAAGTCAAAGGCTAAAAATGCACATCTATACCTCAAATTCTACCTCCCAGGAGGCATATTTGTTCCCGTCGTAAGCACAACGGGTTCTTTCATATTACTCTCCCCCATCCCGTCATGTTTTATCTCATGTACTCCAACTCCGTACACATCTCCTAAAACAGGAGCTTGTTCTTTTGCTCCCGAAACACCCTTGAATAAGAATTAACTAACTCCTCCGTCATCTAGTGGGTAGAGTTGCGTGGCATCATTGGAACATTGCGGTTACGAATGCAGTTGACTCCCGACCCTCCTTTCATTAGTCTCTGTACCTTGACTTTCCTTGGCCAGCCACGAGCAGATTTATCTTGCGTTCCTCTATCGAAGCACCTTCCGAATCTGATGGATGTACCCCTCATATCATCCTTCGTTCAGTCCTCAATCGATGCTGCTCTTGCTGAATATGTTGCGCCGAAGAGTCTGACGCTCGATCTCAAAGAGATGCTTGTGGGCGATGACTTCAAGAAAGATACAGTCGCGAGAGGGGTCATTATGATTTATGTAAAGGAAGCAAGAGGCTTTAAAGAGGGTGATGGTGGTGTCGGACCCATCGAGGGCTCCAGCGATGCTTATGTTACCTGTTCGTGGGGTAAATTTGGGAAAACAATTTCATCCACTAGGGTCATCGAGAAAGACAAGAACCCCAAATGGCACGAGTGGGCGTACCTGCTGGTAACGCCAGAAGAACTCAATGCCGAGGAAAATCTCCGTCTTCAATTGTGGGACTCTGACAAATATACAGCTGATGATGATCTGGGAAGAGTTGAGGTTGATTTAAAAGAGCTTATGCACAACCCCAAAACAAACAACCAGCTTTGCGACAGGGAGGATCGATTAAAGGGCCAGGATCCAAGTGAGGACATGCCTGGCAGCATCTCTTGGTCGGTGGGCTACTTCTCGAAAACTCGAATCACGGAGGATCAACTTGTGGCTCAGACTGAAGATAAGAAAATCAAAACCAAGGATGACCTCAAGAAGCAAGTCGCTGAGACTGCCGAAGGTAAGCTCCGTGAAGCAACAGAGCACGATGAGTCAAAGGAGGCCAATCAGCAGAAGACCCAAGATTACAAGGATCGGGAAAATGCTTTAATCTGTTCCTCCCCGCCTGATCAAAAGTTCCTAAGCGGAATTTTGTCAATTCAGATCCATAATATCACCGGCCTCGCAGTCGAATCACCACAGAAAAAGGATCATGACAATACTTCCGACAGGGAAGATCAAGCTGAGCAATCCGATGACCTTCCTAGCAGCTATTGCACCATCATGTTGAACCACAAGCAGGTATACATGACACGCACGAAGCCAAAGAACGCGAATCCCTTCTTCAATGCTGGGATAGAATACTTCATCCGCGACTGGCAGAACGCTGAAATCATGATTAGCTGCAGAGACAGCCGAGAGCGAGAAAATGATGCGTTACTAGGTGTCGTATACCTCCCCTTGGCCAAGGTGTTCGAGAAACGCAGTCAAGTCATGGATATGTACCCCCTCGCTGGTGGTATGGGCTTCGGGCGTGCTCGCATCTCAATGGTATTCCGTAGCATCGAGTTGCAACTCCCCAAAGAACTTAGAGGGTGGGACTACGGAACTCTCGAGCTCAAATCTCCTGTCGTGCCCAAACGTGGACTGTCAAAAGACCTGATCGGTCATCGTATCAAACTCCGCTCCAACATGACACGCGTGAAGATGCACCCGAGCAATGGCGAGTGGCGGCCTAAACAAAACGTTTCGGTCTTTCTTCCCTGCCGCCAACGCTACGCTATGCCTCTCGTCGTCGAGTTCCGAAAATCCAGTCTAGGCCCAGATTCGACGCCCGCATTCGCTGTGTTCTGGCTGAAAGATATACCCGACGAAGAAGAGCGTACGATCACAATGGAAGTCTGGGCTGGCGGAAAAGAAAATCTCAAACGGGCCACTTCCTGCGGTGGCTACCAGGGAATGGAAGCGGATGATAAACCGCTTGGGGAGATTGAGGTTACGATGAGATTTTGGCGAGGTCTTTCAGGATACCATAAAAAATATGCGCAGAAAGATCGCAGTAGGAATATGCAGAACATCATGGAAGTGCTTGATACTGTCAACGATGAAATTCAGAGTGATAGCGAGTCGGACGATGGAAGTGATTCTGATTCCAGCGACTCGGGTAGTGAGAAGAGCGGCGGTGACAAAAGCACGAGTAAAAAGCTCGCAACGCATACCAATCAGTCGGATTCCGACTCTGATTTGCATCATGACTCTGATACAGGGAGCAAGAACCCTCTGAAGAAAGTCAAGAAGCTGAAAAAAGAGGTCATGGATGGCCATAATAACCCTGATGATGGTTCCAGGGGCGCGGTGGGCATGATGAGGGATTATAAAGATCATCATCGACAGCTGCATCGGAAGCACAAGGGTGTGATGCAATGGCGTGGTGCGAGAACCGCGGATTGGGCGTTGAGTAAGATGAGGCATGCGAAGGGAAGCATGGAGGGCTTGTTTGAGCACTCGGAGAAGAAACCTGGGGTCGAGACCGAGGTCTAAAATTTTGGCAGCAATCGAAATTGTACAGTATCATTGGTTAGCACGCCGTTGGCGGCATAAATCATAATTAGCTACAAGAAACGGTATCCTCTTTAGTTCTATCTCAGGCACGAAGATCCAGGTCAGTTCCATTGCTACAAGGCTTCCTTGAATCCGTAGAGTATTCCGCTTTTGGATATTTAGAAGATGGAAGATAGACATCAGAGAAGGAGACCGCCGTATTTAGTGTCGAGTGTCGCCGCAGCGCATTACGGTTAAAAGAATGATTTGCTTACTATTCTAGTATATAACTCTTACTATCAGTTCTGGTTATTTAGAGACTGTGGGTTATGCTGTCATTATATTATTGCTATCAATTTTCTTCATAATCTTGTATTTGACAGCTATCGGTTGTTCAGTCATATAGCTTAGTTGGTCATGAACTGGGTGGAGGGCAGGGTATAAGTTATTCACTATTAAGTGACCGTAATACTTCCCTCGTATGGTGGGGTAGTATGGCTTTCTTAAAGTGGAGTAGCATCAATAGAGTTAAAGAGTTTGCTGTCAAGATATCATTCGCTGTCAAAACGCCTAGACGTTTGCATGCCTCTCAGGCTCTGATTAAAAAGTAGGAGATGGTCTATGAAGGACTGCTTTACGCGCCATCGCTACGATAGCCACTGACGGATATACGATATGACATGATGAGTGAAGGTGGCCATGAATAGAAACATTATCTCCATTTGGGTCGCAGATATACGGAGTGGTAAGTGATGGGGAGTCTCAGATAAATACAACCAAGGGAGGCTAGTAAATGAGGTCAATGAGGGAGAGTTCAGTGTTCTTAGAAGGTGAATGAAGAATATTTCCTAGTAGTATGCAGAAAGGCATCGCCCAGATGCGGAACAAACGCTACCAAGTTTTATTACAAAGCAACTGCATGGTGTTTAACCATAACATGCATTTCCTGATAAATACATGCCCGGTACTCCACAAAGATCAGGGTGGACAACCTGTATGAACGAACATATTTGCAGATCCAACCCAACGCAAGAAAGCACGATGCATTTACAGCTACAGCTACATCTACAACCATAGCCCCAATCGACCCTCAATCATCAGGCAAACCACTTCCCAAACCACTCTACAGCCTGCACCTCTGCCTTCTCCGCACACTCCATCTCATGCACATCATCCGGATGCGTCCTGACCGCAAACCCATGCTTCGCACCCTCCATCACAACAACCTCATGATCGCCCCTCTTCTTGTCCTCGAGAATCCGCTTCATCTGCTGGATCAGGGGTGTTTTCAGCGCCATGTCACTATCGCCGATCGCGACGCTGGTCGGGATGGTGATGGCGTCTACGTCGGCCGGGACGTCGATGCTGGAGGGGTGGGCTGTGAAGCAGCAGTCAATTAGGGGGCTGAGAGTGGAGGAGGTGGAGGTGAGTTGAGAGGGGTGGCGCTGGACGCGCGATGAGGGCGTGTCGTGGGCGAGGAGGATCGCGTGTTTACCGCCCCAGCTGGGTATTGCATTAGTATTGCTTTGAGAAAAATGAGGTAGGTATGGCATGTATGTTTTCAAGGAAGCTAGGATCAAATCATTCCTATTGAAATCTAATATACCAAGGGTGTAAACTCGCATCATCGAATACGTACCAGAAACCAGCAGCACCTATCTTAAGATCATCCGTCCTAAAGGGAGGCGGAGATGTTCTCAGCGCTTGAACATATGCAAAAACCCGCGGTTTGGATACCGAAACACGGGTTTTGATTAACCACGGGATTGTTCTGATTGCTGCTTGGAGTACGTATGCCGGTTTATACACAACAGTTGTGAGCCAAGAGCCTGGTTCCATGATCTTGTCCATGAGAGCGAGGACGCTGGGGCTCAGTGAATTGCCTGTTGACCTGTCAGCTACGGGGTTCTTAATGAGATGAATCAAACATAAGGAAAGGAAAAGGAAAAAGAAACGAAACAAACCATTCATAAAATCTGGAACGTATACCAGAAATCCACCCCTTTTGGCGTAGTGGTCGGCCAGGACTCTGTTATTCACAAAGTCCCACCCGAAGGCATCAGTGATAAAGACGATTATGCCTTCAGGAGTAACTCCGTCGGCGGGCTGTGCGACGTAGGTGGGCAGGCCGTGGATACTGGTTTCTGTGCCGGTTGGATGGCTCTTGGATACACCTCCGCTGAAACAGGCAGGGCAAGACATTGTGGGGTGAAGTGATTGTTAATGCAACTCGTGGCTGAGAGATGAGTTGTGAATTCAATTGTTATTGATTTGTATATATACTTTCGAAGAAGTATGCTTCAAGTAAGGGGGACGGAAAAGTGGGGCTGTATTTACAAAGCTTTCGGACTTTTAAGCCTCAAAATGTCCGGGTGTTGTCTTATCTGTCCAATTGGAGAGGGTAACAGCATGAAATTAACATAAAGGGATAGGCGATTAAATCAATTCATGATTAAAGAAAAAAAGATAAGATATATCAATAATTGGAATTGGTGTATCTACAGGAACAATATAATTATGGAAATTTAATTCACGGAACACGCAGATGTAAAAGGGACCAGACTTCTTAGTTGGAAAGAGTGCAGTTGATTTCAGAGGGCATAGCATTCATAGGCCAGCTTAATAAGACAAGAGCGGATAGTTTGGAATTGTAAACGCCAACGATCTGAATCATATGCCTATATAGGAAAATGGCAGGGTGGGATAGGGTCAATTTACTAATATCAAACAGGTGAAAGGCTCGTAGAAGAGGGAAGTTCTTTGCGTTTGACACGACAGTTGTACTATCATAGCACTGAAGTGCCACAAAAACCTCGAAATATGATCTCTTGCAGAAATTTTCTGATCGAAAGAACGAGGAAATACCTACACGACTCTGCGCGTTAATACCCATAGAATATCTGATCATGTTACTCATACAAGGTCCTAAGGACGAAAGCTTCGCGGCTCCTCTAATTGCGTCTAAAACTCTATGGCTATGGTCGTTATGTAATGTATTTTTGGTCATCCGTCGTAATATCGTAAAATCATATACACCCATCAATCAATGAGTCTTGTCCAGGAAGTAAACTTCAAGCAAAATACTTCCCAATCTCGGTACCATGCTCGGGGAGAGCTTGCAATAGTGATTCCTGTACATCAATCAAGTCAGCAAACGTAGTTGAAAACACACTACAGATACGTGGCGAAACTTACACCAACATCTGCAAAATCTTCAACATCCCCTCCATCGGTCCTCCCTTACTTCCCCCGAACCCGACAAAGTGATCCAAGCCCCACCCATAAACCTTCTTTGGCTTCTCCTTCTTCTTTCCCTCCTCGTCACCCCCCTCCTTCCCACCCTCATGCTCGTCCGTTTCTCTACCTAACAACTCACCCCCCAGCGCTATAATCCCATGTACAGCCTTCGCAAACCCGGCGGCCGCAACCAGGGGCACAAAGGCCGCAAGTCCAGCTTTTACGGGATGCTCCTTTGCCCATCTAATGAAGCTCCTCACCCACTCTTCAATCTTAGCTGTTATCCTTTTGACAAACCCTGGTCTGGGTCTGGGTCTCGCTGTGCTATAAGGAGAAGGGGGCTTGTTTGTGGGCGAGAAGTATATGGGTCTTGGGGGAGGCGTGCGGCGTCTCTGCGGACGGGCGGTAGGGTTGTTGGAGTTGTATGAGGCAGGTTTCTGGTTGTCGTATGGTCTGGGGTTCTGGTTATTGTTTATTCGTGTTGATTGGGGAGGAGCAGCGTAGTAGTAGGATTCCTGAGCGGACGGAGGGAAAGTAGGAGGTGAGTAGGAGTGGTAGGTCCTGGGGTGGATATCGTGGTTGCAGTTATTGTTGTGGATGTGTTCTTTGGGAGAGCTCGTCGGCGGAGGGGTGGGGTAGTTTGCCATTGGGAGGGATTTGCTGAAGAGACAATGCAATTGGAAGAGGGGGATAAATGTGCGAAGCTGCAGACGCAATTGACAATGCGGAATATGAGCTTCAGGAGTATGAGAAGGAAATGAGAGAGAAGTGAGATGTTTCTTGAAATAATATGGTGGTTGGGCGGTGAGCTTGAAACTACCGATAGAGAGCTGCAGCTTCAGGGAGGTCCCGTCCCCATCCCCTGCCGAGCTCGCTAATCTTTAGTGCCCGCTGTTTCCGACAGGAGGCTTCACCTGGGCTATTCTTTGGTGCCTCTCCCCTTTTTCTTCTCCACACGTATTGGAAAGTTTATTTATTTTTACCGTACGGGAAAATAGCAGCAGGCTTAGATCTTGATGCTCTCGGGGCATCGTATTATAATCAAGTCCTAATAAGTATGATCCCATCGCGGGGACTTCTCAGATGGTTTTACGAAATATACTGGGGCCTCGGAACGGTCCGTATAACTTCTCCACCTGCCAGCCTCCCTGAATCTACTGATTCTACTCGTATGTTTCCTCAGTTCAAAAGCACTGGTAAAATCTCCGCTGCATTACCTTCGAAGACCCAATCCTTCTTCTCTGTTGCCGTCAATGTTCCGAGATGATTCTTGTCCATGCTGACCACACAGACTCTGGCACCTTTTTCTTTTGCTATATCTACAAACTTTCCAGCTGGAAATACTTCTCCTTTCGTGCCTATAACAATCATGAGATTCAGCTTCTTCTCCTTATCAATCTATGGGATGGTCTCATTATATTGTGGCACAGAGAGACTCTCCGAACCAGACGACTGCCGGTCGAAGGAGAGAAGAGCATTTCGGACAATGTGGGAGGTCTTTAACATCTGGGACTGGATCTGCCCTTATCTCATCGGTTACGATTGGTGATAGAGAGGCGATAATGTCTGCGAGAGGGTTTGGCCTGGGCTCAAACGTCGGAGCTAGCTTGGATTCTTTTTCGCTCTCTTTCTTTGCCCTTTTGACGGTCAACTCCGCAAGCTTGGATTCAACTTCTTCTGTGCTTGCTTTGTCGTTCAAAGATTGCGTGGCGGTAGGCGCAAAATGCTCGATGGCATTTTCAACTGCTAATGCGGGACATATTGGCTCCTTGAAATTGTCCTTTTCGTAGTAATCGCATTCCTTGTTAGAGCATTTGATGTCCATGAGAGATCCATGGAGTTCGTAAAGTCGATCTTTGGGATTCTTCGTTTTTTGAGAAAGGCCTTCAAATCAGTTAGAAGAGCAAGTTCTATGATGAAAGGACTAATTACGGTGTAAGAGATAGGGAAGTCTGGGGATAAACCGCAATTTCCAGTCAAGATTCTGAGCTTGGAAATTTGACAAGACCCTCGAGTCTAGACTCTCTTGCTCGTCTTTCAAATACTCTTATTCACACTCTTCCCCAAGAAGAAGAATTCACTCACCATCAATATTCTACGTCAAACCCCTCACATCATTTTACTTCCTCGCCAACACAGCTAGCGCCTCGTGCGCCCCATTTGGTTTCACCCCCAACGCCAGCTTCTTCCTCTCCGCATGGTACTTCCAGACCAAACCCGGTAACTCCTCGAAACAATCTATACTCGAAATACTCGTGCATTTATGGCCTCGCCAATGTGCGCCATCCCCACTAAAAGTAGGAATACCAGAAGCATCCGACAGACCAGCGCCGCAGAGAACAAAAATGCGTTTGGAGGAATGCAAATACTTGCCAAAAGAGTTGATCTCTGCTTCGGAGGCGAGGGCTGGTGTTTCGGTAGATGGAGTTAGCGTCATGACAGGTTGTGATTTCTGATGCCCGGATGAAGGCATGTTGTTTTGTATTTCGGAGAGTAAAGTAGCAGAAGTAATAGAGTTATTAGAGAAAATAAGAGAAAGGACGTGTCTAGGTCTTGTTTTGCGCGATCAAGGTAGCTCCTTCTACACCATTGAGCCAGATAATGTCATGTGACTTACTTACCGGATGAGTCGGGGGATACAAGTACCCTGGCTAGTTGTGTAACACATTCGAAGGTCAATATGTATTATTATTTGATCAGTAAGTAGAAATGGAAATGGCATATATCTTCTTTTTGAGATGTAATGGATAGACATTCGGCTGCATCCCAAAGCGGCTTAGTCATAATCTAGCGGCTTTCCTTTTTCCCGCGACTCTCCGGCTTCATCTTTTTATACTTCTTTAGCCGGCACAAATTCAAGATCAACAATTAGATTCACAAACAATAAACCCATGTAATAACCATCACTACTTTTGTGTGATGTCTTCTGAGCGTCCTGCGAAACGAATTCGACAAGCCTGCGAACCTTGCCGGTGAGCACCATTAGCACCCCGTGACCTCCATCATTGGTCTATGCACAACTGATCGAGCCGACAGCCGCAAGAAGTCAAGATGCCCTGGAGAGAAACCCACCTGTTCCCATTGTTCTCGTTTGCGTCAGGCCTGCCACTATGCTGAAGAGCGCCACGAAAACGAGAGGGTTCTGCCGAGCATCTCCCCAACTCATCGGCCGTGGAGTTCTGGGGTACAAGGGAGCGATGGACAAGTCGTGGGTCACGTTTAAGCTTTTTGATAGTACACACTGGCTCATTTGTTGGTAGGAAGATCGTCTTCGATTAGTTGAATCTCAGCTCGCTGAAGTGCTTGCAAACCAAGCCTCCCTTGGTGGAAGCGCATCGTCCCAGGTCGCGGAGTCGCCAGCCAGGAATTTGCAAACTCCCAGGCAAATACTTAGCCCTAGATGTTCTGAGACGTAAGTAGTCTTTCTGTTTACAATAACTCACTTCTGAACAATCAAAGGGCTCTTCCTCCAAGGGAAGTAATTTTGAATGCCGCACAAACGTACCTTCTGTACTGCGACTGCCAGCCTCTACCATTATTCCATCGTTCGACTTTCACCCAGACAATTTGGAACAGAGATCCGGAAGTTATCTTCTCACTTCTTGCTGTAACATTAAGGTTTACTGAAGATATTCGGTTGTGTGTCGATCAACCCGATCCTATTCGCGACTACGTCGAAGCAGCCAGAATACTTATTTCAAAAAGGATATTCGAAGGAAATATAGAATTATCCACCATTCAATCATTATGTCTTCTAAGTCTCGTGCATTTCACAGGTATGCTCTCCCTCTATTCGCATGCAACAGCTGATGAACCTAGATGGCAATACACGGCGGGCGAGTATTCAAAGCAGTCAAGCTATGAGCTTAGCCCACAGTGCGGGATTGACTTCGGAGTCCCACGTGGCACTTTCCCCACAATACAAGGAAGAGCGAAGAAGATGCTTCTGGAGCCTGTTCCTACTAAAAAGATTACACGGTGCTGATTTCATGGTCCTGGATTTCTCTGCCGATGACAACTTTCCATGGTATCCAGAAACTACGAGTAATCCACAAACTCAGCCAGTAGAAGCGTCAAGCTCTGTTGAGATTGATCCAGAGGTTTTAACAGATAAAGGCATAGTTGCATATGCCATCCAACAGAGCGAAGTATGGTTCAAAACTACGAGGTATGCTTGGAGAAGGGGCAAGCCAAGCAGCCTGCCGCCATGGTCCGCGCAATCCGAATATTCAACGGTTCTGGCGCAATTGATGGATTTTGAGACGCGAATGCCTTACACCTATCGTTTCAAGCCGGCGAAATTTTCACAGCAGCCTCTTGAGCATCTGAACGCCAATCGAGATTACTGGGGACCTTGGCTTTTCGTCCAATTTCTATACCACACCAACCTATGCCTACTCAACCATCCGTTATTATTATCACTTAGGCTTCGAAACTTCAAATGTGTCATTCCCGAGATATTTCTTCAACATACATCTGATCTGATATCATCGCATGCATCTTGGATTATCAATTTCATTGACATGCTGGAAGGAAAGCAGTTCAAAGTGACGGATCCGTTTTTAGGTCACTGCGTTGCTATAGTTGCGACCATTTACTTGCAAGAGAGCTTTGTGGATGATCTAGCAAGGCGAAAAGATAAGCAGGATTGTTTTGACAAGTGTCTACGCTTTATTCGGGGCTTTGGGGCTCAGTGGCCTCACGTCGGTCGTATAGTGAGTTTTCCTATTCTTGAAATGGAATTTCCAAAGCTCATCCATTCCAGGCCGATAAACTCCAAAGACTAGGCGAAACAGTCTCATCAACGCATGTCGCGAGTGAGGTACCGACTCGTCAAAATAGGAAACTATTGATCGACCTGGGACAATTCTTTGAGATTCTAGAGTATTCCTCTTCTAGCGAGCTTGTTGGGTCTGCCGGAACTCTATTTGGAGCATCATTGCTTCCGACTATCGGGGGTTCAAGGGGAGAAATGGCACAGACCTCTGTACTTCCTGAACCTAATAGGGTTGAAGGCCAAGAATTCGGAAACTCGACGCCCATAGTGAATCAGCTGGAAGACCGCAATGGGCTTTTCCATCTCGATGACGTTTCTGCATTGACGAACGGTGCTCCACTCCAGTATTCAGATGATGAATTGGCCGTTCTAGCCGAAAACTTCTTTCAGCAAAGGCCTGAGATTGAAGGAAGTGTGAATTGGTGGAATGTGAGCGATCTTGGGTAAAAAATCCCATGCATTCGCAACGAATGATGAAACCTCAAGAACTCGGAATCATCCGAAACGTTGCGGTAAGGACAGCACCTGCTGCGCTTTTTAAAGTTCTCACACAATCTGAAAGATTTTCACATGATTTACTGCAGACGCTTAGTAAGTAGCTTTTCTCGTGATGAGAGGAATCTCGTAGCTGATCATGGTCTCCCAGTAACGCGAGATATCTGAAGTATTTTACACATCGCAGCCTTTAGATTCGAGGGGAAACAAATCAGGCCCATCGATTAACGTATGAGTTTCCAAGCAGCTATCGGGAAACTGTTCTCCTTTCATATGATATAGAATGTTGTATGTTTCCAGTCACTATCGCTATGCAGAACAATTGCCGTTCTAGATTGCACGTACCCTGGTCCTGCATGCCCCTTCTGCACCTATCAATACCACTCTCTAGACTTTATCACAACGTCACCTAATCCCCCCGCTTTAATAAGACCATCGGCAAAGCTCGAATCGGTGCTCCGGGCATTTTTCTGAGGGCCACAGCCTTAGTTTTCTTAAGTCTATCTCTTCCCCGTTCATCACTATCAGAGCTCTAGATAGGAGATACCGGATAAGGTAGTTCAGTATCCAGAACAGCATACAAATAATGGTTTATATGTCTATCACTTCTGCAGCGATCTGCGCGACGGCCAATTGTTGCTTGTTATGAAATATCAGAGTGTCCTCTACGCTCTTTGTCTGTGATGTTTCCCATCCCACCTTGAGAAACCCAGAACATCACGTATTTAATTATGACGGATATTGAAAAGACGAGCAGTCCAGAGGTTGGAACTGTCGAGAAGTCATTGGCTCCCATCGTTGGAGCAGATGCAGCACTTGATTTTCTTAGACGTGAAGAGGTGGATCGAAGCATCGTCGATATTGATGAAAAGAAGCTCGTTCGGAAGATCGACTGGATGGTCATGCCAGTCAGTTGTTGATTCTTTATAAGATGCTCATCTACTAACGAGTTCTTCAAGTTGATGTTTGCTTGTTACATTCTGCAATATCTTGACAAGACCCTTATCAACTATGCCAATGTTATGGGTTTGAAGGACGATACTGGGACTACGGCTTCTCAATTCTCGTACCTGGCTCTTGCATTTTACGTGTCCTACTGTGTTTTCGAGATTCCTCAGGGATATTTGATGCAAAGATTCCCGACCGCCAAATATTTAGGGCTTCAAGTTATTCTTTGGGGGTAAGTCGCTCACCCTATTTTATCTCAAAAGTGCTAACCCGCCCTAGCATATGTGTTGCAATGAACTGTGCCTGCAAGAACTTTGCTTCTCTCGTTGCTCTTCGTGTCCTCCTCGGCTGTTTCGAATCAGCTGTTGCACCGAGTTTGATTCTCGTCACTGGCATGTGGTACAAGAAGAGTGAACAGCCGTTCAGAATCGGAATATGGTATCTAGGAACAGGTTGCGGAACCATCGTCGGCGCGCTCTTCTCTTATGGCTTCCAACACTACAACGGCAAAGCATTTAGATCATGGCAAATCATGTTTCTCGTTTGCGGCATAGTCACGATAGCCGCCGGAATCTGTGTTGTTTTATTTTTGCCTGACAATCCAATGAAGAGTAGACTTTCGCACGATGAGAAAATATTTGCTATCGAAAGACTGAGAGACAACAAGACGGGAGTTGAGAATAAGACTTTCAAGGTCAAGCAAGCTATAGAGTGTATTATGAGCCCTAACACATGGCTCATCAGCCTTTTCACTGCGTCGTCGAATGTTTCAAACGGGGCAATCAGCAGTTATCAAGCTACTATTATCAAAGGGTAGAACCTCAGACTTCTTCTTTCGAATCTTTGCTAACACTTTCAGGCTTGGATACACGTCAAAGCAGACCGCCTTGCTTTCGATCCCAAGTGGTGGCGTCTCCATCGTCTCAATCCTATCCGCAACCTTCGTCGCAGGCCGCACGAATAGCCGTGCTCTCAACTCCTGCGCCCTCACCATCCCCTCCATTATCGGCGGCGCACTGATGGCTTTCCTACCCAAAAATGCGGGCGCTGGCAAGCTCGTCGGGAATTACATGACGAATACCGGCGGAGCAGCACTACCGCTTATGTACTCCCTGGCTGCCGCCAATTATGCAGGCCACACGAAGAAGATAACCATCAATGCAATTCTTCTCATGAGTTTCTGTATTGGGAATATCATCGGCCCATTGACTTTCCAGCCGGATGGAAAGAATCCTCCGGAGTACATCCCCGCGAAGATTGCCATTATGGCAACGGGCGCAGTCGCTGTAGTGGCGGCGTTGGCTTTGGTGACAATGCTCTGGCGGGAGAATCGGAGAAGAGACATGGAGGAAGCGGCGATGGGAGGTTATGATCATGTGGTTGATTCGGAATTCATGGATAAGACCGACAAGGAGAACCCGGAGTTCAGGTACTCGTACTAGGATGGTCATATCTGGGCTTATTTCTCCTTGGAATAGCATTATGCTCAGCTCTTTCTCGAAAGCGAATAGAGAACCGAGCACTTTTGGTAGCAACTTTCAAGAATACGCCCTCATATTACATTGATACTTGAAGCATGCTACTGATGTCTAGTAAAGTGACTCTGGTGGATACATGCTTCCGTTCTTGGTACATCGTGGGTCAAGACTGATGAAGTCTCCAGGTTTTCTTTTTACGCCCAAGGGATAAGGTCTGATTTCATAGCACAATGAGCCTGTCCTCAATTTAAAGATTTAGTTGCTACTTAGTAGATATTTGTGATGTTATGGTGGGGAAGTGCAGAGTAGTGAAGTGATGTGTGCGGTATCAAAGCGTCCACATTTTATTCCCCGACTACGAAGTAGGGAACTACTTGTGCTTAGTCTACCTATCTTCTATGCTCGTGATTCCAACCCATTTTTGGCCGAACTCCTAAGTTCTGTTGCATTTCGTACTTCCTCCGTGCCTCTTTATGGCGTCTGAAGCTTCACTCTCAAACCAGTAAGACTCTAGAAAGGCTACTTTGTTGCAAGTCGCAGATTTACCTGTGCCTCAATTCAAGACACTAGCCTTGAAAGCTACTTCCTTCTCCGGATATTTGTTGCAAGCCGTAGATTTCCTGTGCCTCAATCTAACAGTCTAGCTTGGAAACAGTACGCCGTAGCCGTATACCGTGGTTATAGCACCCACCCTGCTTTGTTGCAAATCGCAGGTTTGTCGTGCCTCTTGATGGCGTCTCTAGTTTTCACATCGACCGTCCAGTCTTAATTAACCCAAGCCTGCTCTATATCTTCTCCATTTTCTGTTGCAAGTCGCACTTTTCATGTGCCTCTCCGTTACGTCTCTACCTCATCCCAATAGTGTGCTGGTAGTGGAACTTTCAGCCAGCTTCTTAACCATTATTCGCAAACAAAATATCACGCTGCGGCTCTATTTCCCAAAATGGATAAACAACAGCCCCTCACCTCGCGCTTTCTTACTAGAAGCATTGTTTTGTTGCAAGTCGTGAAATTGTCCTGTGCCTCTTCATAGCATATTTAGCTGAAGCAAGGTTTCCTCCCGCGTTCCCAACGAACCGGAAGACTTTTCCCATTTTTGTTGTCACAGTACTCCGTACGCTACATTTTCATTCTGCGCCGCTTGCTTGCGTGCTCGACCGTCGTCAGTCATGCCGATGTGGAGTTACCTCCCTCCGTACATCTTAGTGTTCGGCTTCTCATCCGATACCATGCACGCATACTCATTACTTAAATCCCTACCTATATCCCTACCCTAACGAACACTATAAAAACATGACAATAATAGCGAGAAAAAGCAACCTACTCTTTGGAAAAGAGATGGTTCTCTTCGGATTTCTCCTTCAGCCGCCTCGATATAATCGCCGATTAGAATTTCGGCTCTGACTGTGCCTCATTGACCCAAAGCCTCGGGAACCAATGACATGGTCATAAATCTACTTTGATTCGCGCTCGTCTCGGCATTTCGTTAGAAAGAGGCACGTAAAACCCCGCCGCGCAACACACCGCACCGCTTGGCCCTGTGCCTTCGGGGGAAACTTCTTCATTCTGCATCTATCCAGGCCAGCTGCGAGGCACGGGTGGCACACGAGATTTTGCGATGTGCAACGGAAGATGATTTGGAGGCAGGGATCGGCTGATTGTACGCAAAGTAGCTGTATTGGATGGTGGGCCATGTGATGTGGGATATATATCTATAATAATTTACGCATCTTCGTCCTCTTCGCCCTCACTACCCGATTCGCGCTCAGGCTCATCGTCATCATCATCATCTTCATCCTCGTCTTCATCCTCGTCTTCGTCAGCCAAGTCATCATTCAAGAGACCCCTTGCAGCTCTGCCATGGGGATCGGAGCTCGAACTAGGCGTTCCTTGATCTAACATCCCCAGACCATTCATCTGACTAACAGCCTCCAACGCCCGACTATCCGGCGTCCCAGGCCCCGTCTGCTCCGACTGATCCCAAAGACTCTTAACATATCTCTGGTTACTTTTGCTGACCAGCGGTTTCACCCCTCCGGAAGCATCAAAATCCTTCTTGGCCTTTTTCAAGATTTGTTTCTGAGAAAGAGGCTTCACCAGGCCCGATTTCGTCAATGCTTCAAGCTCCGCAGCCGTGAGTCGAAGGTCAGGAACTGGGACGTATACCCTCCTGCTGGAACTCTTGGCAACGGTATCAGGCAGCGAGAGAGCGACAGCGAAATCCTGGTCTGTCACTGACTTTCCCAGACGGATGGCGATTAGTTTCGTCTTCATGATTGCTTTGATTTTCGCGAAACGGCCGTTCTGGAACCAGCCGTCTATTTTGGAGCTGAATTCTTTGGGGTATAATGCGTCGCGTGCGAGGCGGTGTAGGAGGGGGTCAGTGATGTCGCAGATTTGCCAGACTCGACCTTCGAGAGAAACGTGCTTGCCGTCAAAGAGGTGGGATGTGGGGTCAGTCCTATTATATCGCAACATTTGTTCTCGACGTTGGTCCTTCCATAATTTGTTAGGCTCGGCGTCGTCGCTTATTCTGAAGAATATCGTTTGGTAAATGCGGTATTTTGGGTCGCTTCTGGGATCAACGCCGTATTTGACCAAGGCCTCACGCCATGGTCCATTCTTGAATTGGTAGCTGACATATTGATATGCACTTTTGATGAGGCTGAGGTGAGGAGAATGGCCGAGGCGGTTCAACAATGCCCTTCGCGTCCAGATGGGACGCTCTTCCAGTGCCTCCTTCAAGATAGCGACGAGACTTTGAAGGTTTGGATCGTCAGAAGGAACTTCTGGACCTTTGTCTGGGATCTTGGCAACGTCATGACTCAAATAATCTACTCTAAGGTGTCGTTGAGGAGCCCGGCTTTTCAGCACAGGGTTTCCAGTCTCTGGATCGACGTCCGTGTAGTTGTTGGGATTTTGCTGCCATTCCCAATTGAAGGGGAGCGAGTGGTGAGACATCCTAGGAGGTGGCATAATTTGGTCGTTTTGCTTCAAGCCTCTGCTAGGGTCTAGTCGGAATTCTTTGATATCCTCAACTGAGTTTTGTTAACATTAGACAGATATAGTTCGAGTACAATTCAAGACCTACCTTTACCTGTGAGAACAGTGTCTCGAAATCTAGTGAAGAATTCCGTATTGCTGGTGGAGTGATGGAAGTCCGAGATACCTTGACGTGTCAGCGTTTGAATATATGTATGTTGACGATCGCATAATTACCTCGAAATCGGTGTGTATTTGTAATTTCAGCAACGGCCTCAATGGAGTAGTTGCTAACATTATCTTGGAGACTTCTGAGAAGCTCAGCGGGCTTGTCTTTTCGTGACTGAGACCCAATGCTGTCCGCGGAAAATGTAGGGCCAGTATTTGGGAGAGAAGAAAAGCCAGTGTCGTTGTAGAGGGAGGGATCTAAAGCTCCTCTCTTCCGCTTCCTGCCTATTCGCTTTGCAACGGTGATCTGCAGGAGGACGTTGTTGGTCGGGGTGTTGTATGATAAGACCGGGACACACATAGGGTCATTATGCCGGATGTAGAGCGGTATACAGCTATCGGGGTCACTGATATCAATAAGCTACCATCATATCAGCATGGTTCAACATGAAAAAAATAGCTAAGACTGTCGCAGGACATCACCCTACTTCACGGTCACGAGGCATATCACAAGACTTGCACGTGGGAGATCGAGTACAAATAAGGAAATAGGATTCAAACGTACCCTCTCAAATGGTCGATTTCTACCAAAGGTTTTGAGGCCATTCTCGAGATTCTTGACGACTAGAGGATGTTCGACAGCGACAACCTTTCTTGGTGGAACTGTATATACAGGAGCTGCCATGTTGAAGCGGGGCAGAATGTTTGTCTTGATGTATTCCTTTTTCTCAGAGGTCCTGCTTTTGATAGATGTTGACAATCATTATTTAGAATAGTGATCTGAATAGTAATGTGCAAGCTTTCACGATGCTGGAATTGATTTAATATGGTATTGAAGAGACAATTGGGTTGAGGATTTGAGTCGGATATATTTCTCCACCTTCTGTCCCGCTTAGCGCGCTCTAATTAGGCGCAGCACTTCACTTGAAGGTGGAGGGGACCCAGCCGACCGACGTGATGCTCCGCTCTGTTTTACTGCTGTGCTGTGAACAAACCCATTGATCCACCAACCCTCATCTACGCCTCTTCTTCTAATATCGTGCACTCCAACGACTCGAGGTGCGCCGGTTGACGAGCCTTTATTTGGTTGCTGACCTCCACGTGCTGAGGTGACGACAAGGACACCATTCACTACCCGCAGCATTCAAGGACAATCTGCTGAAGGGCAGACGCTACGACCATTGATCACAGTGCTTCAACTCGAAGGTATATATACCAAATCCATGGGTAATGGAGGCATATTCTTTGTAAGAGGGTCATTGCGCTGACCAGCCGTCATTCTATAGTAGCGTACTCGCGATACCTAAAGCTTCAACTCGACCTGCCCCCACCCGCCTTGCTCTCGCTATTCACACATTTTGGGACCCCCCTTGTCAATATAACACTGCTTGGATCTACTTGAGAGTCTTCCCTCGCAGTGCCCATCCTCGAGCTATTCAGCCGGCAAACGAAAGATCTGGGATCGATACTCTGCTGTTTCTTTCATAACCTGTGGCTTTGCACGCTCAATCCGCACCCCTTTCCAAGTACATATTGTCTCAGTTGCAATTGTAGGAGTTGTTGCCAAAGCTCCTTTGATTCCCACTTGCAAGACTGTTTGACCGGTCGCCGAATAGCTGTGATCATCCTTCTTATCCGCGCGTCACAAATACTACTTGAGTCGTTTGGTGGAGTATTCGAGGCTTGGAAACATTGATCGAGAGAAGATTGTGCCATTTTTCACCATGAATCGCTTCAGACAGAGAGTTGTAAGCCACCAATAAATGAGACTCGGTTGCGAAACAGCCCACATTCTCACTGCTACCTTTTCCTGCCCCTCCCTATCTTGACCACAAGCTGACTACTCCAGCATGAGCAGCTCTCGCGCGCAAAAGATCCAAGCAAATCATCTAAGTCCAAGAACAAGGATGCAAAAGACGGAACCTCCTCCCCCTCACAAACAACCGCGTCGCGCGACTCTGGACAGTCACCAGTTGCAACGCCATCTTCTTCGACCACGACCCTGTCCGATTCTCGTAATAAACCCCTCCCACCAAATGACGCTGCAGGCGTGAATGATCCTGCTAGTCCTTCTCTGCAACCGCAGTCTGGTTCAATAAACTCATTAAACCCTGGCCACAATACAGTCGTCTCTCCCGATCGCTTCAACGCAATGGGCGGAGGTTCACCAAGTGCTGGTGCCCCTGGAACACCCAATCGTCATGGACAACTTCCTCCCAGTGTTATCATCAGTCCTAGTGCGCCTGTAAGTACAGCACAATAGATTCATTACTCCCAACTAATTGTTCCATTCAGCACATTCCTCCACCTGGAACTGCGGAAACAATGCCTCATGATCTCGCGCCGCCAAAGGCTGGTTCGAAGTCATCAATGTATGATCGATTACAAACGACCCCAAAAGACGTGCCCGAAGGTATCAGAACCCCAAAAAGACAACACTCCTCGAGATTCGATATCTCTCAACATCGTGAACTCGAAAAGCTTCCAGGCTTTCATGAAGTCCCCCCGAATCGTCGACAAGACCTCTTCATGCAGAAAATTGACCAGTGCAATGTTATATTCGATTTTAATGACGCCAGTGGGGATATGAAGTCAAAGGAGATCAAGAGACTAGCGTTACATGAGCTACTGGATTATGTTGCGAACAACAGACAAGTCATTACGGAAACCATGTACCCGCGGGTGGTAGACATGTTCAGCAAGAATCTTTTCCGACCCATCCCTCCCCCAATGAATCCCCAAGGAGAGGCTTTCGACCCGGAAGAAGACGAGCCAGTTCTCGAAGTAGCATGGCCCCATATTCAAGTCGTCTACGAGTTTTTCCTGAGGTTTATCGAGAGCCAAGATTTCAACACCAATATTGCCAAGGCATACATCGATCACAGCTTCGTTCTGCAGCTCCTGGAGCTGTTTGACTCGGAGGATCCTCGCGAGCGAGATTTCTTGAAGACTACTCTGCACAGGATATACGGGAAATTCCTAAATCTTCGTTCTTACATTCGAAGGTCCATAAACAATGTCTTCTTCCAGTTCACGTACGAAACAGAGAGATTTAATGGAATTGCAGAGTTACTCGAGATTCTTGGGTCTATCATCAACGGATTTGCCTTACCTCTCAAGGAAGAACATAAGCTTTTCTTGACCAGAGTGTTGCTTCCATTGCACAAGGTCAAAAGTTTGAGCATGTATCACCCACAACTTGCGTACTGCATTGTTCAATTCTTGGAAAAGGATGCCGTACTGACAGAAGAGGTAATTTTAGTACACCAATATGTTTAAAGCAAGCTAACAAATTTTAGGTTGTGCTTGGTCTACTTCGCTATTGGCCCAAGGTGAACAGCACCAAGGAAGTCATGTTCTTGAACGAAGTAGAAGACATTTTCGAAGTTATGGATCCAGCTGAGTTTGCCAAAGTCCAGGAGCCCCTGTTCCATCAACTCGCCAAGTCCGTTGCAAGCCCTCATTTCCAAGTTGCGGAGCGAGCTCTCTACTTCTGGAACAACGAGTACTTTTGCAATCTGGTCAGCGATAACGTGGAGATAATTTTGCCTATCATGTTTGCACCACTCTATGAAAATTCCAAGGGGCATTGGAATAGGTAAGATGACCGATCCAAAAAGACGTTAGTTGCTAACAAATATAGAACAATACACGGCATGGTTTACAACGCCATGAAGCTCTTTATGGAAATCAACCCCCAACTCTTTGATGACTGTTCTCACGACTACACCGAGCATCAAAACAACGCTGAAGCACGGGAGGAAGCGCGAGCAAACAAGTGGAAAGCCCTCGCTGAACAAGCAAGCCGTTCGAAGACTAACGGTACCACTCGAGCCGTATCATCACCATCTCGCACTAAAGTTACCACCCCCTTACGAATTGACGAGGTTGACCCAACGACGGAGGATAACCAGAAAAGGCTGGATTCGTTGAAGCTGCAGGATGGAGTGCGGAGGCCAACTCATGATCGGCAAAATTCGGTAGGCTCCTCCAGAAGCCAGCGATGATTGTTCTGCTCCCCTCAGTACTATGCCGCTTTGCATTCTGCGTTTTGGATGCCGCACATGTGGAATGATTGTTTTTTTGTTGTCAAGGGATAGAAAGTTGGCTCGCGCATACCTCCCCGTTCTTTTTGCCCATTCTTTCTCTCAAATCCAACATCTGCGTTGCCAAGGCTTTCAAATTGGTTGCGGTTTGTTGGATGGTTAATTGACGATGTTACCCTAGAAGCCCGGCGGGTCCTCTTCTTCGAAAAGTACTGGAAGTGCCAAAAGTCCCACGTCTCGATCTGGTAGCCCTGTGGTGGTGGAGTTGGATGATGCTGGTTTCAGGCTTGTGCAGACTTTGACGGATGAACAGGCTATCCATCTCTCTTAATGGCCGGCCGTCTGGTATTCACTCCATTTCGAAATGTTTAGTCTGGATTGGATGAGAAAGAGTGTTGGGTTTTATGTATAATGTACGTACATTATTGCATTACGATGATGGGATGGGCCTTGCTCGGCCTTTTTACATTCTCTTTAGACCTGGTGGATGCGGTGCTCATGAGATTTCCTCCTTCTCCTTTCTCTTTGATTGCTAAGCAAAACAAGCAAACCAAGTAAATACGGAGCTTAAAAGGCACACTGGCGTTGAAGATTCAGATTCAGATTCAGATAGTTGATTAGGGATAATGACATTGTGATGACGTTAGATTTGTCTCTTGAATTGTTAATCGGAAGTCTAGTCTAGTCCTGTGAGATGTGGTTTCTTGGACTTGAACCATTTATCGAGTCTTTATGATGGGACATTTCTCATGTCTATATGTAGATATCCCAAGGACCCCTTTCCCTCACCCGTTTTATTTCCTTAACGCCATGCCTGCCAACCCCTCTACATACAGTATTATAAGACAAGAACTAAAACCAATAATAGTATCAATACAAATATCAAGACCCCAATACAACAACTACTCAGCCCATCCTCATTCCTCCTCACCACCTCGCCCATCTTCTTCATACCCGTCCCTAGTCTCCCGCCCACGCGATCTGCCAGCACATCCGTCGTATCCAGTATCTCAGCCTGCTCCTCGAGTTCCCGGCCCATATCACTAGCCTGCTGCCTCAGATTCCCCACGGTATGAAACACACTATCTAGCTGCGTGTCCTGTTCGGCCATCATGTGGACTTGCTGCTGCTGTTCGAACTCGGCGTAGTTATCCTCTCGCCCCTCCGGATCCGCAGCATCAAATATTACTCCGTTTTTATTCGTGCTCTTGCTCAGTTCTTCTTTCATATCCTCCACCTCGCCACCTACTTCCTCGCATAGTCGCTGGCGCCGACTCACTTCCTCGATCTCGAGCCCGTACTTGTACGGGTCGCTCTGCACGGCTTGCACGCTCTCGACTAGGTCGGCGAGGTCGTCTGCTAGGGCGCTGAGGGAGGATTCTAGGTCGGTGCGCGCCGATGCTAGTTCGGGGGATGAGGTTGTGGTGGTCAGGGATCGGATGCGTAGGTACGAGGTGAAGAGGGGGCGAGTGGCGCGGAGTTGGGTTAGGACGTCTCTGTGAGGGGGGTGACGTTAGTTGGGGGGTATTCTTTCTAGGTAGATAGAGCAAAGTAGAGTAGAGTAGAGTAGCTGCCTGTTGCGCGCTGTACTGGTGAGATATTGATATTTCCGGTAGGGCTTTGCTTTTGGGTAAATTCTCCACTCTAGCTGAGCTGTCTTCTGCATGTGAGGCTATCTCCGCATCGGGCTCTTGAATACGAGGAAGGTGAGCAGCCATTGCTTGAAAGGTCTTCCCTAGCTGAGACAGCCTGTCATTCCTGTGCGTGCGGAGCCATCTCCGCTCGAGGCTCTTGAACACGAGCAACGTGGGCAGCTACTGCTTATAAGACCTTCCCGCCAGCTGAGCTACTAGATCCAGCTTCTGCCTGCCATTCTTCTATCTCCGCTCGAGGCTGCGGGGATTCGGAAGGCACAGGCTCGGTTTGTAAAGGCATAACGATAGACCTCGGTATGTCGAGAAGCACGGCGAGAAGGAAGGGCGGGGAACGTACGCTTGAACCTGGAGGAAGGGATCCTCTTCATTCGTCGAGCTCATCATCTTCGGTGAAGTTGTCGGGCTCTCCCAGCCCTGTGACCCGGTATTCGGAATAGCACAACAGGGCAATGCAGTACCCGCCGGATAGAGGTTAGGCGGCAGAGAAGAGGAGAAGATGAGAAGGATGCGTCTGTCTGTGTGCGTGCGCTTGTTGTGCTGTGTTGCGCGAGAATACTCGGAGTTGTATGGTGTCGCGACCTGTCGTTGACCTAGAGTAGCAGACGAGGCTGAAAACAAATGCAGGTGTCCGTGGGCCTTGGGATTAGGTCGGATTTAAGCTCCGTGGGTGCGGGTGCTGTCACAATGCTGTACTGTAGTGTGCTGATGTGAGCGTCTTCGCAATCGGAAAGCTGTCGTGACGATTCCTAAAGGCTCGACGCGCGTAGTTTGTGGATGGGTAAGTGAGGTGAGGAAGAAAATGGGTGAGAAAGTGACTGAGTGATATAGTAAGTCTTGCCAGCCATCGATCTTTCCCCAATGTTGGCGGCTGCAGTGAAGAGTGGAGTGGCTGCATGGATTTCAACCCCAGGCTTCCCGACAATGCAAAACCCCTAGACCCTCCCTCCCTACCTTAACTCGTAACTAGACTCATCTTCTTCCGCATCGCCATGTTGCTGTTGCTGCTGCTGCTGCTGCTGCTGCTGCTGCTGCCGCTGTTGCTATTGCTGTTGCTATTGCTGTCATCTACTGCTTGTAACACCACACCGCAACACATACATACACGCTTGCTTGACTCGAGTACTGTACGGAGCATCCAGCGCCAACATTCCCTCTATTCGCCTTCGCCCATTGCCTCTCTCACTCCTCTCCCGCTGTCAGATTAACCTTACGTTACTCACTTCGCACGAGACGTGTCGTTCCTGCGCCACCATAGGCTACCAGCTTTCAAAGTCCCAAGGTGCAGTAACACTCGATTGAGTCGCCGCGTGTTTGCCACTGGGTAGGCTCTCTAGCTCATCTCATGATCACCTTGCCTTGGTAGTCCATAGGTGAGGTATGGTGGGTTGCCTTGCTTCTTGTTAGGCTTGGTGCGGCTCCTAGTGGGGTGGGAATATCAGATACCGTACCCGTATGCAGTCAACTAGTATATCTATCTGTACCTACTTCTATCCATCCATCCTCCCTATTCACACTTTGCACCACAAAGTATGCAGCCCAGCCTCCCTCTCATCTCACTCAACCTATACTCCACCCCTGCAGGTCCCTGCCCAAGGTGGATGTACAAGTAGATTGGATAGTCCCGAGCGACCTCGTTGTGGCGAGAACGCACCCAGTCTGCCAACCAATACCTACAGCAGCTGCATCAATTCTGCAGTGCCAGCACCCAAAACCCGAACTGCTGGCTGTTGGTTTAACCTCCGGATTGTTTTCCTGCCTTGTATCTCCAACTACCTATATAACGCCCGGTTCCTCAAGAGAGGCCCCAATTCACTACATATAAATCCCAGCCTCACAATCTTTCGGTGGTAGGCCTTCTTGAACCACGTGTTGTACACCGACACTTCGGTTTGCTCTCATCTTCATACACCTGAATCACTATGAAGCAGAGGATGTCGCTGAACTCTCTTCTGGCGTCTGCCTTTCCTACTGACGGCCCTGAAAGCTCGACGGCTTCAGCACATGGTCCAATTCCAGACCTCTCATCTACAATCCTCCTCGAAACATTCATCCCTGGGTATGGCCCAATTCACAAGTTTCTGCTATTTACCTTCGGTTTTGATGTCACCGTCTTGGTCTCATTTGCCGCCGCCCTCTGGATAACAGCTAGATTAGGTCGCTCAATATGGGCCATAATATGGAGTGGGGTTAGCAACTACTTTATGGCCGAGATCACAGTCAGCAGCACAGATGAGATCCATGGCCATCTCATTCAGTTCCTTGCTCATCAATACAAAATTAGCTCATCCCGGAGACTAATGGCCGAGACTCCTTCCAAGAGCGCTTGGGAAATGGATAGCGAGGATACAGGAACGCCAGAACCCACCGCTGATGCTAATGGCAACATCAAGTGGCTTAACTTCTCCAACCAGGAAGCAAAGTCGCAACCGAGGTTTACACCAGCTATCGGATCTCATAACTTCTGGCATAATAGTACATACTTTCAACTTCGTCGAAAAGAAGTCTCCGTGCTCGATGAACTAGGAGGCGGCGCAACAACATTCAAAGACAAGGAAGTCTTGACACTTTCATGTTTCGGACGTTCCACGGACCCAATCAAGGCACTTATCCAACACGCCAAAGAACATTACCACTCGGGACACAAGGCAAAGACTATCATCAAGCGACCGGCACCGAAAGATATGAGGCGTTTTGGAGGGCGAGGAAGTTGGGTTAAAATTGCAGAGCGACCATGCAGACCTATGAAAACCGTTGTTCTGGATGAAGAGCGCAAGATGGACGTTTTAGCTGATATTAACGAGTACCTTAATCCGGCGACAGCAAGATGGTATGCCAACCGTGGTATTCCATATCGGCGAGGATATTTGTTCTACGGCCCGCCAGGAACAGGAAAGACATCCCTCACCTTTGCGCTAGCTGGTGTCTTTGGACTTGATATTCACGTAGTTTCTCTTCTCGAACCAACACTTACAGAAGAGGAACTTGGGATGCTATTTACCAATCTTCCTGCTCGATGTATTGTTCTACTCGAGGATATTGACACCGCTGGTCTCGTTCGTAACGAACAAACAGAGGTCGAGGAGACCAAACCCCAGATGAATGGCGAAACGAAGAATGACTTCAATGTGGTTGATCTGACAAAAGCTCTTAAGAAGGCGAATCAACAGTCGGAAGAGGAGCGGAAGAAGGGAATCTCGCTCTCTGGTCTTCTCAACATCATCGATGGTAAGTTCTCCTCCCGTTATGTTCAACACCCTTAACAACTTCTAGGTGTCGCGTCTCACGAAGGTCGGGTTCTAGTCATGACAACCAACCATCCCGAGAAGTTAGACGAGGCTCTAATTCGTCCCGGCCGCGTGGATCACCAAGTCGGGTTCGACAACGCTACACAAACACAAGCCAAACAGCTTTTTGAGCGCATGTATAACAACGACCTTTCCCACACCAAGCTCATCATCAACACTCCTACTCCTCTTCCACCAGTTACTAACAACTTCATCCTGACCCCCCCTGCAACGCCAACTATATCCAAGATCACAAATGGCCACCTCAACGGCTCTGCGAACGGAAGCATAATTCTGAGAGCTGCAGATAAAGAAATTGATGAGTTGAAAGAAGGCGAGCTAGAGGACATTGCATCTTCGTTCGCGGATATGGTTCCTGATGACGAGTTCAGCCCAGCTGAGATCCAAGGTTTCCTTCTAAAGAGGAAGAAGGATCCAAGGAAAGCTTTGCTGGAGGTGGATATGTGGGTACAGGGTATGATGGAGCAGAAGAAACGAGGGACGAAGCTATTGAGGGTGCAATAGATGGGGTACTATATAACGACCATTTCACTTCTTGCTGATAATTGGAGTTGGGGTCTACATATTACGACACGAAACTGCGCGGCATTAAAGGCGTTTGATATATCACTTGCAATATAGGTGCGTGCATGCATCAAACGCAATATATTTATGAGGGCATAATCCGAAATTAAGGACCAAACATACCTTCAGCGCTGCACCACGTGTAGGCTTGGTGCCTTCTTTTACATTTCTTGCCTCACCATCCCACCACTCACATCCCCACACGCCCTTTTTCCAACAAAGTTGCCAAGTGGTTCCGCTACCTTTCCCTAAAAGGATCCCAAACCAACATAATAAATGAAGTCGCGGTCGAGTTCATTGGTTCTTCGGGTAAATCCTTGCATACCGTGCTGCATACATGTACGGCCCCAAGTGGACGACAGGGACGAGGACGAGACAACCTACCGGTGTGTGTGAGCTGCTGTATTTGTTTATTGCACGATGGGTGCTTTCTTTTCTGAATCACGCGGCTACCCCGATCTTGGGCGGCATAAGGTTTTCTGACGACATGGTGAAAGTGGAATGAATAGGTTGTGGATAGTTCACGTTGGAAAAGACAATTATGATTTAAAGCATAAATCTTATAGTTGTTTTTTGTAAGCGCTTCTTTATCTTCTATTTACTTCCTAGTATTAAGATGGGACAAGTTGAAGAATTACATATACACAATGTCCCTTGGGTGTGATATGCGATGCTTGGTTGGTCCTGATTGGTTACTTTCGGCGCGCAAATTTCAGAGAATATATGCTCATTGCTTATTAAGGGAAGCTTACTCAGTCCAGAACTTGATTGGAGAATGATTTTGTAGAAATAGCGTGGAATAAATCAAGAGCCGGGGAATAGAATGGTCTTTTAGAGGCGGGGGAGGTGTGGGGTCGTTGACGACCTTGGTCTTACCCATGCGAACTAAAACCCCTTGGAACGCCTTATTTCATTGGTAATAATGGTTAAATATCTACAGCACTAGAGTCTTCTCAAGTTCAAACAACTCGGCGAAACCCTCAACGTATCTCTCCACCTCTTCTTTTGTTGGACGAGGGACAGGTTTACGGCAACATCCACCATAACCAAGGTACGATTCCATTGCAGCCTTAGTTCCAACAATACCTGTTCTAATTGCTACCCAGTCTCCGCGCGCAACGACTCCTTGCATCTTAACTGCTTCGTCAATTTTTCCAGCTTTGTACAGATCAAAGACCTTCACACACGCTCGAGGTGCAATGTTGCCCAGTCCACCGATGATGCCAGAGCCACCACCTACCAAAGCCTGAGTCGTAAAGTCTGCCGATCCGCCCATACAGAGAAAGGCAGGCTTGCTACTTGCGCTTGTCGCAGCTACAATACGGTTCAACTTGCCCGTGTTGCCACAGGTCAGCTTACAGCCGATGATATTAGGGTGTTTGCTCAGAGAGATGATGGCATCCGAGTCCATGTCGAAGCCAGATGTTGCGCCGGGGTAGTTGTAGATGAGGATTGGAATTGGGGATGCATCGGCCACGTCTGCGAAGAAGTCCAGTATCGAGGCATCGTTGTACAGACTGTGGTAGTAGGACGGTGGGAGCACTAGTGCTGCGTCGCCGCCGGCCTGGGCGGCGTGGCTGCAGAGCTCAATCGTCTCGAGCGTGGACTGCGCGCCGCAGCCGACGATGATGGGCAGGTCGTCGAAGCCGGCGCTGTTAAGTGCCTCCCTCGTTGTACTTGTCACGATTTGTCGCTCCGTGTGACTAAGGTGTACCGCTTCGCCATTGGACCCCTGGGTTACTATGCCGGCAACGGAGCACTTTGCTAGCCAGGTGACATGTTGGCGGAGGGCTGGATAGTCAAGTCCTTCTGTTTCTTTGCTGAATGGTGTTACGATTGGGACATAGAATCCTGCGGTGATGGGACGAATGGAGGGAACTGGTGAGTTTGAATGTCTCATATTGGATTCTCAAGTTTCCGGATCTGGAAAGTGTAGCTGGCATCAGGATAAGATGGTTCGGATTGGGAAATAGAGTTACAGTGAGAATTTGGCAACGTCCAAATCGATGAAAGAGAAATTTCTTCAGCTAATATTAACAGGAGGAAAGAGATGAAATACTAGATCATGACCCCCACGGACTTCCGGGAACTTGTTGCGCCTGTTACTGGTGTTACGTGGGAATGGACCTGTCATCTTCTAGTGTCAATTCACTGAAGGATTCCCCGCATGATTTTCGGATTGTTGGGGACTTGTTAGGAGCCCCCACACCCCAGACCTGGATCTTTCCCGGATGCTGGTCCTGGTGCTGATGGGGTTGAGAATAACACGTACCCATAATACCACCAGATCATGCAGAAACACTGATCCTTGGCACCAGAAATAAGGCTACTACGGCTGAGTCGATTCTGGTTCAAGTAATTGTTGCCATATTAGAATGGAATCTCGGAAGTCCTACTCAAAGAAGTACTGTAGCGAGATGTATATATATTTGTACTGTACGACGTGCAGATGTGATGGATGTCCCAAATCAACCCCACTTCATGGATACAACGGTAATAGAAGCCATGATTCCCTAGATGCGGGAAATGGCACATCATCATCACCTGGTGCTGGACTTTCTGAGTGAGCGGGCCGTTGCGTGGGATTCTCGTATCTCTTGAGTGGGTGGGCTATCTCCGAAAATTGCTCGGACCGACTTAACAGTACGTCAGCTTTCGATAATTACAGCTCGAGCAAAAGATGAGTGATTGTTTTTCCGGTCAAGTTTTCATAATTCCATATTTTTCAAAGCTTCAGAAATGGCAAGTGGACCTTTGGAATCAATTCAGGGCGATGTCCCCTTCTACAGATGTAATCCGCCAATGGTCCTAGGCGAAGCCCCGATATACCGATCGAGCGACTCAACTCTTCACTGGGTGGAATGTATTGAAGATCCAGCTACACTGTGGATTCTTAAAGTTGACCCCTCGACCGGTGATGCCATCGGAGAAGCTCGAAGAATCGAACTCGAAGACAGCGTTACAGTTGCGTTCTTCCGGAAAGATGTCCCAGGTAGTTACATCTGCGCCTACTACCAAGGAGTGGCATTTATGGATGAAGCCACAGGAAAGCTAGAGGTGATCAAGGAGATCATCCCGACGGATCAGCGTGAGGAGTTGAGGTATAATGACGGCGGCGTGGATGCCAAGGGGAGGTTTTGGCTCGCTGAGATCGATAAGCGCGCGATGGCGTACGGACCAAATAAGCTCCCTGAGAGTTATGGGACGCCGAAAGGAAGGCTTTGGAGGTACGATCCGGATGGTAGTCTGCATATGATGGACACTGGGGTTATTTGTGGAAATGGTTTGGCTTGGAGTCCTGACAACAAGACGAGTATGGTCCTAGAATACACCGTCCATTCGATATACCGTACCCCGCTGACAGTTCTGAAAAGTGTACTTCAACGACTCCGTGGCTATGATGGTGTTTGCATATGATTTCGAACTTGAGAGTGGTATTATTACAAATAAACGCCTTTTGATCGACCGGAGAAGCAGTTTCGGAGAGCCGGACGGAATGGTTGTTGAGTAAGTAGCAGTTGGTGGTTTTCGACGGATACCGAATGGACTTTCTTTCATGTGCACAACTGACACTTATGCAGCACAGAAGGGAATCTCTGGATTGCTATGTACGCTTCCAATCGGATTATGGTTTTCGACCCCTCGGGCATGCACTTGAAGGATATCGTCCTGCCGGCATACAGTCCGACGTGTACGACGTGGGGAGGCAAGAATTTTGATATTATCTTTGCTGCGAGTGGGAAGGATAAGAGAGGAGAGATTGGCGTTAAGGATGAGGGGGGGCATATGTACAAGTATAAGCCAGTGAACTCGAAAGGAACTCCGAAATTCGAGTTTGCTGGTTGATGTGCCGTTATATCATACGTACTCTTAAAGTTACTATAAGAACATCTTTAAAACTGGCCTTATTCTCAATTTTGGGTTTTGAAATTGGACGCAAATAAAGTTGGGTGTGATGCTTATTTATTCCTGACATTAAGATTGCCACAAAGTATTTATTCCTTTTCAACTACTTCATTAACCTGCACAGCGGTACACTCAATCTCCACATCCGTCTTATGAGGCAACGTCTTCACCGCAACACACCTATGCACAATTTAGACTTATGACACAAGAAAAGAAAACAGGGGAAAATGGAAACTCACGTCCGGCAAGGTTTAACATCTCCCCAGTAGGTCATGTACACCTCATTCATTTTCGAGAAATCATCCATATCCGCTAGGAATACATTTACTTTGACGACATGTTTTATGCTTGATCCGGCTGCTTCAAGAATGGCAGAGAGGTTCTTGATGCATTGATGCTAAATGATAGGTGCGTGGTCAGTGGGAATGGAAATAGAAGTGGAGGGAGATTTCCCCTTTAGCTTGGTGAATGAAGGTGGAGGGGAGCAGAGAGGTGGATTGTACTTACTGTATGTGCTTGGATATCACCGTCGATGATTTTCATAGAGACAGGGTCCATTGGGACGCTACCCGAGCAGTATACAAAGCCATGGGCTACGATAGCCTGGGAGTAGATCCCAGGAAGAGGTTTTGGTGCATTGTTGGTAAGAATAGGAGTTCTTGGATCAGACATCTTGACTGAATGTAGGATAACTCGATTAAAATATTTTGACTGGTGGGTTGGAAGTAGGAACGAAGTGAGACTAAGAAATGCCAGCCAAAAAATATCTCATAGCATAAGGTATCTAGACTGTGGGGAACTTTGATCCCATGAATTCATCTCCCACGCTTGAAGCACATCTATCTTCCATGGGCATACTGTACTGTACTGTAATATGTAGTGCTTATCATAGTGCATACGGTACCTTGCGTTAGTGCAAGGCACGATTACTTCTTATGGCACTGTAGCTTCGGGACTGCCCACGCTGCAAGTGGGGAATTGTGAACCACCACTTTACAGGCAATGAGCCATTTAATAACAGTTCAGAAATCTAGTTCCGTTTTGAATTTTTACTTTACAGTCCTATAAAACTACAGTTTATTAATTTAAATCACTTCAAGCCTACCGAAATAGTTTATACAACAAGCTTCTCGAAATGCGGTCCGTAAACCCTGAACCGCAAACGCCGCAACCTCCTTATCCCCTCCACGAAAGCGTGAAAGATAAGCTTGATCCAGAATATGTCGAGTTTTATAACAAGTACATTATCAATAATCAGCAGGTCCATTATCAGCCAGTCGCGGCTTCTAGAACCGGCGGGACGCTGATTCCTGGAGGCGGACCGGCACAGCCTGTTGGGAAGACGGAGGATTTCGCAATCAAGCGGGTTGAGACTGAAGGACCAGATGTTATGGTGAGATGCTTCACGCCAGTTGGAGAGACTCCAGAAGGTGGCTGGCCGGTCATGATATATTATCATGGAGGTGAGTTGTGGCAAGTACTACAGTATATTATACCAGATATTAACAGAAAACAGGTGGATGGGTATTGGGGAACATCAACACAGAGAACGTCGTCTGCTCTCATCTATGCAAACGCGCCAATTGCGTTGTAATTAGCGTAGATTACAGGTCTGTCCGTCTTCTCAAAAGCCATCTCCACTTTGAAGTATTCAATGACTAACAACACCGTACCGACCAGACTCGCACCAGAAGATCCTTTCCCTGCCGCAGTCCACGACTCCTGGGAAGCAGTCCTCTGGGCCACATCGCCTATCGGCCAAAACGTCCTGAAAATCTCTTCCTCTAAAATTGCCATTGGGGGATCCTCCGCTGGGGGGAATCTCGCAGCAATCATGTGCCACAAAGCCGCGCGCCTCTCAAATCCAATCGTCTTCAAAACGCAACTCCTGATCGTGCCCGTAACGGACAACACCGCCTCCCCAACTACCAACGCTACCTACCTCAGTAACGAAAATACTGCTGCTCTCCCAGCCGTAAAGATGCTCTGGTATAGACGTCACTACTTGCCTAATGAGTCTGACTGGGTGAATCCAGAAGCCAGTCCGCTGTTATATGCAGATCATTGGGATGTGCAGCCAAAGGCACTGGTCTTAGTAGGGGAGCTGGACGTCTTGAGACAGGAAGGTGAAGATTATGCTAGTAAACTACAAAATGCAGGCGTGGAGGTTGATTTAAAGGTTATGAAGGGGATGCCGCATCCATTCTTAGCGATGGATGGGAGTTTGCAGGCTGGGAGGGATGCAATCACTTATATGTGTGAGGCGCTGAAGAGTGTATTCTAGATCTAGACGAGTGTATTTGATCAGATCATCTGTTAATGCAAAGTTTTAGTGGCCAATACAGCGGAATGAGCCTTCTTTGATGTTATGTCTTTGCTATACCAGCGACTGGCTGGTATTAGCGCCACTCAGTCGCTGCAGCGTCACATAGGCCTCCTCTAACAACTCCCACCGACAGCCCTCCAAAGCATCGGCCATGGCGATAGCAGGCCTTTAGTCCTATTTGCCCCAGTGACTGCTCCTTTTCCGCGTTGCAACCCGCTCAGCATACGAACAACATATTCCTCCGCTCCAATAAGACCTAAACCTTCATCCGGAGCCTCCTCAACCATCAAACCGTAAGCCCACAAGACCAAGACCGCATGATACAAACACCACGGCCTTAATGCAATGATATCTTCCCTCGCTCTGTACCTCTTCCCTGCGAATACGGTTTCCTTTACCAGTAGAAGCGAGTGGTTTACAGTTTCCTTTGCCTCGTTCGTCTGACTCCACCCACAAACTCTAGATTGTGCCTTTGAGAACTCTTTTCGGAGAAGTACGTTTTCCAAGCTAGGGGGTTCTTTGGCAATGATGTGAAAGTCGGTGATATTTACATGCAAAGTGATATACGCCATGCGATGTAGTGGTTGAGCAGCCTCAAGACACAGCGACTGCTCTAGAGAGAGTAAGCAGAACGACCACGTCTCAATAGCCGTGCTCATTGTGTCCTTCCACTCCTCAACTTGATACACAGCGGGAGTCGATGTCTCATTGGGATTAGGTTTTCTGATACCGATACCGAGCGTGGTGTTGTCTCGAGCATGCAGGTGAGTTGTCAGGCTCAGAAGGCCGTGGAGTAGGATGAAACGCGAAAAGTCGCTGCATGTGGAAGGAACTAGGCTTTTTCCGAGGAGGGCTTTGAGGGTTGGGAGAAATTGGCATGGTTTGGGAGCGCGCGGCATGAGAGTCTCCCAGTCGGAGGCACTGGGGCTTTCCCAGAGCGCATCACTACAAGGTAGGGGTAGGCGCATGTCACTTACTGAGAGCACAGGCGTGTGCCCGAAAACCGAGGCATGTTGAGCGTCCATCAAAAATGCAAAGAATGCTGTCCGCCGTGAGGATTCGTCTTCTGCCCATTGACGCCAGGAAATCTCGAGAGAAGTTGGTTGAGCGCTCCCGAAACTTGATATTGTGGAGTATGCTCGACCCCTTTTCATCATCTTGTATGAGTCAGCCTCTGAAACCAATACCCGTAAAAGTGAACTACCGTCAGTATTGCCCCGTGGAAGATGTGAGCCATCTCGTGGTGTTTAACAGTTGATGACATTTTCCCCTGAGCTTGCACAAGGAGTAGCGCTTGGAGACACCAGAGCGGAGAGGGTGGCTCAAACCTTCCAGTCTATAGTAGTCAGATACTATGCAGAAGATGGATTTACCAGTACTAACAGAGAGGATAATCCATCGAAGAGCATCATGAATTTGAGTGCCAATAGAATAGAGAATAGGATCAGCAATTAGAGTCGCGCCAAGCGTGATTATAGCCGTGAGGAGCAGAGGTGGTGCTTCCGCGACCAACATAGAAGGCTGATGCAAAATCGGGAAATGATGGTGGTAGTTCTTGAAGTAGAGGTCATAGAATAGAGCGAGGTTTGAACGTTGGAAAAATTGTGATTCGAGGAGCTCCTGAGGTAGACTGTGCAAGCTCGCAAGGATTTTAGATCGAGCGACTAGCCAGGCATTATCATAAGATGGTATAGCTGGCAGTATTGGTTGATGATTGCTTGAAAGTAGTTCAGGCATAGCTGCAGCGATCTGAAAAGTCGTCGGTGGTGCAACAGCGCCACTCATATCCAAAGAAGACACAAGCTCTGATTGGCTTGCTTCGAAGAACCAATCTAAGTCTTCCGGTAGATCTTGGATGTTTGTTGAGTCGTCGAAAAAGAGGGTATCAGCTCCATCAGCTGGTAGATTGTAGGAAAGTCCATGGCCTCTATGAAATTCAGCAACCGTGGGGGTGCTTTTCGTCCTAAGAGCATTGTGGCGGCTATCATATTGGTTTCGAACAGAAGCATTGCTTTCCCTTCGAACTCCCTGGATTTCAAACGCTTCTGGGGGAGGATTCTGGGGCGATAATGCCGGTGTCGAATGCGCGGGTGATGGTTCTCTGGCTATTTGAGAGGGTGAACTGCTGCGACTTCGGTTTCTCTTCGCCGTCTTCTCCACTATCCCCCCAACCTGACGATACCACATCCCCTTTTCATGTCTGTCTTTATGCCTCTGATATAAGTCTGGGCGGACGAACTCTTTTGGGCAGCGGGAGCACGAATATATTTTGGTGGGCCGGTCTAGATTTGTGTTAGTAAGTCCAACGAAGTATGTGATCTTATTCAGTTACGGTTCAATCTATGCCTAGAAAGGTGCTCTGAGCGTAAAAATGATTTGTTGCATCCACTTTCAGGGCACACGAAATTTCTCTCTCCTGGAGCTGCCGGTGAGGTGGACATATTGGGTGATCGCTCACGTGATCTGTCATTTAATAGGATGATGTTTTTTCCACCCTTCAAGTGGATGAAGTTTGAGATGTGGATAACTTCAACTTTACCGTGGGATAGATATATGGACTGGCTAATCGACGTTTTGAACAGTGGGATGGCGATATTGGTACGATAAGCTAGACTAACATACAGTAAAGCTTATTTCTTATCACTAAGAGTGATTTGTATAATACTATAGGTTATCCTACCCCAAAGGTGGGTTGTAGCATGGAGCTTGAAACGGCGCTACATCGTGTTTGGGTGGAGTATATGTAATTTTCTCGACCTAGTGGACTATCGTTACACCATTGTTCCCGTTTACCTGGCTTATATCCGAGCATAAACCAAACAATTCTTACTCGTAGCTATCTCACAAACTTAAAGGTGTCTTTTTAAGGAACATGTTTTTCTAAGAGTACGACCCCATTTTTCTTAGCCTTTACAAAAACCAATCTAGAATTAGTAGCTAAATATCGTAACGTTGGCTAGTTGTAGAAAGTATAATTCCTCACTGATCTGACTAAAAACGCGCCCGAGTATTAAAGATGACTGGTATACATATGATAAAACTGGCTAGCAACGCTCTCCCCTGTGCACAAATACTTAGGATACACCCATTATTATCCAACGGATGTGAGCCTCAGACCTCTGGCTTCTCCAGAACCTCCTCTTGGGTGTGGTTACCCACAAAAGTGTTATCAGCTGTCTCCGTCGTGTCCGAGACTCTCTTCACAATGATAATAAGTACAAGCACCATGCCTCCAGATATCAGACCCCAATAACTACCAAACATGTCCTGATAAGGTGTCTTCTTATTATCCAAGCTAAAGACAATCGCAGCGCCCGCAGCACCAAAGACTTTGTAGAAAGCCGAGTATATAGAGAGTACAAGCGGGTCGTTCGATAATGTGCCAATTATCCACCATGCAAAAGTCTGCCACGCCCCGTCGACACACCCATAGAACACATATAGAGTAATGTACCCCGCTGCTCGAGAGTCGTCAACATCAAGGAGTTCCTTGGGCGGGACGCCTCGATGAGATTTCCGCATGGGAAATACACCAGCGATGAAGACGGCGTTTGCAAGGACGAACAGGAAGGTCCAACCGAGGAAGGCACGCTTGCGGCGGGAAAGAAACTTCAAGTCAAGGAGGAAGCCGAGGAAGACGGCCATAAAGAACTGCCCAAAGTCATACCACAAACTACCGAAGCCTCTGGTGCGGAGATCGAAGAAATAACCGTTGTAATCGTTACTTTGGTACGGAATATACCAAAGGCCAGCAAAACTGTATGGGAAGAAGAGGATGATGTAAGGTTCGCGCTTGATGGCTAGTCCTACGTTCTTCAATTCTCGCATGAAAGTCGTTTGTTGAGGAATTAGGACTCGAGAACCATCATTGCGTACGATAGTTTCAGGCTTAGCCACAAAACATGCCACGACACTTCCCATGACCATGAGGACAAAAAGAGCAATGTAAGTCTGGTCATTAGCGCTACCAGCAGTTTTGACGCCCCAGTTCTCGACTGTTGGGATGATAGCGCCGATGACAGTAATGAAGAAGGATACGCCGTAAAAGATGCTGATGTATCGTCCTTTGTCCTTTTCCAATGGGAGTGACATGATCAATGCGCCTTCAGCAGTCCTGATACTTCTTAGCTTTTTCCATTTAAAAATCGAAGAGGTAACATACCATAGGAAGGCCGCGGCGATGCCACACATAGCCCCACCAAAATACACAAAACCTTGACTTTTGTTGTGATTGTATGACCAGTACGATGCAGTCAAAAGACTGTAACCAATTCCACCAGCAACTAATGTAATTCTGGGCCCAAAGTAGTTGCAGACAGATCCCGAAAACAGAGCAAAGACTGCAAAGAGGGCATAGAGAATTGTGCTTGAGTTATTGCTAGTCGTAGGGTCGACTTGGCCACCACCGCCAAGGGCGGATAGGACATTGAACATCCCCACCACCAGCGAGTGGACGAGCGTAATGATCAACGTTTGCACAATGGGTGAGCGATAGGCTGGAAACTGGATGCCAAAGATCTTGGCTCCCTTGGGACGCACATATAACTCTTCGGTTTCTGCGACATCGTAGTCTTTATCAGAAGGGGCGACTTGGTTGGCCTCTTTGGTTTCAAGGTCGATGCTGCCCGCAGTTCGATCGATATTTGCCGCATTCATGGTTGCCGTAAGAAGAGTTGTTCAGGCAGATATTGAGAATGTAGCCTTTGCTTTTTCGGAAGAATAGTGATCATATCCTTGGGATGAGCTCTTCTTAAGCACATATATGAGTAGCAATAAGCCATGATGCTCTCTTGAGATAACCGTGATCAAAACAATCTGTTTCTTGATTGTGCATGTTAGCCTCATTTGCTGGGGTGCAATCTTCCGTGGGTAGGTGGATATCGAGAGATAAAGATGGGGTTGAAGATAGTCCATTGAAACCCACCCAGCTAAGCTTAAAAATCAGCTAGTGTTCCAGGTCCTGTTACATCCATATTTCTTCTGTAGAAAGGATTTTGTTTTTTTGAAAATCTTTTTTCTTTTTTTGCCTTTTCCTTTCGACAGATTCTTTTGCACCATTGACAGGTAAGAAATTGAAAACCATTTCTTTTTACATGCAGCTTTCGTCGTCAATGTTTGTTCGCGACCCGACTGAGGGGTCAGGCCTAGTACCTCACTAAGAGATAGGGGCGTTATCGTCTGATTCTCCACTACTTGCGTGGGATTGTTCCTGAGTGCTACCTATGTCACCCACTTAAGCCTTGAACTCGGGGTGTAGCGATCGAACACTTTAAAATCACATCCTTGAGTTTAGAATCGACAGAATAAAATATTTGGATAACTTCTTTCAGCCTTCTATTCTCAATCATCAAACCGTTGCAAGATGGACGTTCGAAAAACCACCTTCAACTTTGAGGAAGAGCCTGCAAAGGTTTCAAATGGCCCGCCCATCAAAATTGCCTTTTTAGGCACACGGCATCCACACGTGATGTACCGATTTGCAGTGCTGGACAAGATGGGGGGTTTCGAGTTCTGCGGTTTCTATGAGGAGGAGGAAGAAATCGCTACCAGGGTTGCAGAAAAGCTCCCTGGCCTCCATCGCTTCCACAATCCTTGTGACCTTCTCGATAGCAACCCCGACGTTGTAATGATCCATTCTCTGGATCCAGATGTGCCAAAATGGGCGCGTTTTGCAATTAACCATAAAACACCATTCAAAGGGCTGTTTTTGGAGAAACCCGGTGCTGCGATTCCCGAAGACTTTTATGCACTAGCTGAAGAAATTGAGACTCGAAGACCAGGCTTGGCAGTGGAGCTTGGGTACGAGATGCATTACTCTGAAGCTTTGGATTTTGCCCGGAAGGTCATCAAGGAAGGAGTGTTGGGAGACATTACGACTGCAAGATTTCACAGTGGATGTCCATCTGGGGCAGGTATGGATTTATGGCAATCAGTGCCCGAAGATCTTGGTGGGATCATGCAGACAGAAGGCTGCCACACCCTTGAAAACGTATTAGATCTTTTTGGAGCACCAACGCGTGTGGTTTCGAGCATTAGAAAACTGCCCGAGAGGCCGGCTCATCCAGTTCTGGGATGGATTCCAGATCTCTTCACTGGCACGGTCACTACTGGTGCATTTGGGGTTGGGACTTTGTTGTATGAGGATATCGCATCGGCCATGATGGAATACGACGACAAAACTATCACCTTGGATATGACGGCATGGGAGGCAACGGAGTGGTGCAATGAATGGGCCATTGACATCTATGGGAGCAATGGATCCCTTCATGCGGTGCCAGATTATCCGGTTGCAACACTATTCCTTCGTGAGGCAATGGGTAGCTTCAGGGCTGGCACAACGAAGATGCCAACTAAGCAACCCCACGGCACATCGAACGTGCCAGACTACTACCGCAAACAATTGGAGTTATTGTTCGCTAGAGTACGAGGGGCAAAGATGCTTGAGAATGGCTGTTGTAATTTGCAGAAGAACGTCGACATCCTAAAGGTTATTAATGCGATGTATAAATCTGCTACAACGAGACAATGGGTTGATGTGTAGATGTTTTTATATGAATAGAAAATAGAAAATAGAAAATGAGAAACGCTATTCTAAGTGGCTGGTGCACTAGTGAAGTGAGAGCTTTTCCCTCTGATTTTTAGCTAGGATATCAGCATATTAAAAACTATCAGGGGTGAAGGGATCTAGTAAGACTTGATTCTGGGTTTCTGGTTAATGTTGCTCTATATGTGCACCAGGTGGGAAGCCTCTTCGCTTAGTCATTGGCACCGACTCACGTAGGCACGTGACATACATATCTCAGCATTCTAGAATATAAACATATGGGCTAGACTTAAAACAAGTGAGTGATTGACTCATTACCGTAAAGAGGGCAGATAACATTGATCGAACTCGGTAGGTTTACCATATAAAATGAGTATCCACGCCACGGACGAAAAATCCATAAAACATCCACTTTTTACGCCCATCTAGACTCGAAGTGAGCGCTAACAAAACAAGCTTTTCCGGAGCTCAGGAACGATGACATGGCAGTCGTCATCAGCCAGTCCATGTCACCGTATGTGGGGTAAGTACTGGCCTGGGCCTGGTAGGTACATAGGTCGGGTCGGTCGGTAGGTAGGTAGATATCTGTAGATGTACGAGTTGCTACACATTCCTCATCTCCCTTCCCTTTTGTCCTTCAATCACATCACAACACAACGATTGCAATCCCCCTTTTCTCCTACTCACCACTCTGCAATGTGTCGCTGGTTTGCCTACATCTCCCACACGGAGCCATGTCTCCTCGAGGACGTTCTCGTCAGTATGTACTCGAGTAGTCCCCAATTGCATCTCATCTCATCCCAAGCACAAGCTCTAGCTAACACCCTCATCTAGCTCCTGCTCACTCCTTGAGCAAGCAAGTCCACCAGCACTACCTGCCCAAACTCCTCTCCCATGACCCCGCCACCCACGCTGAACCCACCACCGAAGCCGAGATCACAACTCGCAACCGTCTCTTCAACGTTGACGGCTTCGGCGTCGTCTGGTACTCAGCTGCCCTCACTGCCTTTTCCCCCTCCCCCTCCCCCGCACACCCAGCCCTCCACCCCGTGCTCTACAAAACGATCCAACCCCCCCTTCACGATGCAAACTTCCGTTCCATTGCCAGCAATACCGCAAGCAAGGTAGTCTTTTCACACATCCGTGCAGCAACAGCCACGGCCATAACACCCATCAATAACCACCCGTTTACTTTCGGGATCCATACTATCATGCACAATGGTTATATTTCCGACTTTGCTGCTATAAAGCGCAAGATTTGTGAGCCTATGAGCCAGGAAGCGTACTCCCATATTGAAGGGGGCACCGATACGGAGCATTTAGCTGCGCTTTTCATGTCTATCTTGTGTCCAGCCTCCACCTCGGCGGCAAACTCAGACGGCATTCCTGCAGCATGGGAAGAATACCACACTCCGCAAGCCCTAAAGGATGCGCTTTTCAAGACCATCGAAACCATAATTACGGTCCAAACGTCTCTCCTAGGCTCCAAGGCCCAGCCAAACGATCTCAATGTCGCCGTCACGGATGGCCAAAGCCTCGTTGCATGCCGGTTCCGGAATCACCCCACGGAGCAGCCGCCGAGTTTATACCACAGCACTGCTGCGGGAGTTACGCTCAACAGGCAGTATCCCGACCACCCAGATGGCGCCAAGGGCCCGCATGGAAAGGGCAATGGGAAGAGCGCTAATGGGAAACAAGCAGCCAAGGGCGCCGAGGGACATAACCCCCACGCAAGGAAGAATGCGGAGGAGCATGGGAAGCATTTTATCATTGCTAGTGAGCCGACTACGTATAAAGATGCGGAGTGGGATTTGGTGGAGAAAAATCGAGTTGTTTTGGTGGGTAGTGAAGGGTTGATTGGAACCGAGAAAGTGAGTTACCCTGGGGATGGGAAGACAAACTAAGGTGTAGGCAATACAAAGTCGGTGAATAAAAAACCCTACTTTCGTCATACAAGTCATGCAGCAACTAGGTATAATAATCTTGTGGCGGGGCTATAGAGGGACGAGAGTCACGTGAATTTGGGATGCAGCTTCGCTGTGGCACACGTTATAAAAGGGGCTTCTGCTGTAACTTAGAACCACATCTTCTACACACTCACTTGAATACACCATGATGTTATATATGATTTGATTACGATGATACTGAAAGTCAGACCCTAGCCTAGAGCTCGCGGTTGTGTTGTTCCCCTCCATAATATGTAGCGGTTTCAGGGTATGGTCAACAATGTTTAATATTATGTTGCTTGCTATAAGGCCGCTATTGTTGCGACTCTTAGAATTCGATGAGCGGCGCTAATCCTCTTCTAGCACGCTAAACCTCCTCTATTCTTGCTTACTAAGGTGCCCCAAAATGATATAGATTGGGTTAAACTATATACAATTCAAAAAAGTTACACATAGATACAATGAAAATTCCGCCTTCCCTATCAATCAATAATACCAAGCTCGCGCTTCTTGTGCTCTGGCATTGGCAGCTTTCTATCCTTCTTCACCTCTTTTTTCCAAGCTCTCGCCAACTTCGCGTCTGCCTTGTCCTGCTCTATGTCTCTCTTCGATCTCGTAGGATTGAAGACCTCTGCTGCTTCGCAAGCTAGCTCACCTAGCACCACACCAGTCTCGATAAGCCATGCAAATTCAGGGAATATGGCATCGAAAATTGCACCGACCACCTCTGCTACGGCGTCCACACTACTAGCACAATCGAAGTCGCCCAGCTCTCCTGCTGCGAAGCCAAACTAAGAATAGAGGGTTAGCTCTGTTGTTTGGAATGTGGGAAAGGCTCTTAGGGTTATCCTACCTCTGTTTCAAACCACATTTGTGCTGACTCTTGGATACCGTCGTACCACTGTGTATCGAGGAAACTGTTGAGATTACAGAAGGTGTCATTACCCTTGTGCCTTTCTGGCGCAGGTGGCCCGACCACCCTTCCATCGAGATCTCTTTTCCAGCCTTCGGTCACATATGACCAATCAAGAAGTTTGCAGTTACTCCCAGTGGCACTGGCGTTAGCGCTTCCAGCTATCATATTAATAAACAAGTTGAGGTAGTCGGTTGAATTATACTGAGCATCCGTGACGTGGAGTGTCAGCTCGCCTTCTTCTGGTTCGCCATTTTCGAGATAGGCAGCTTGTCCAACTTTTACCGTGCCGGTCTCGCAAGATGTCCAAGCACCAGAAGAGGTTGGAGTTGGACATAAACTTGTCAAGGCGTTGGAGATACTTGTGTAGAGTACTTCCCCTGTCATTGAGGTTCCCACATTGACCTTGGAAGAGCCCATCTCCATAGTGGCTAATGGAGGCTCATAGAGTACTGCTGTGGAGCCCACACCTGAAAGTTCCATGTTAGTGTTTTCTGGGGGTAATGCGGAATAGCCTCGTGGGTTTCAGAATGGCCACTTACAAAACGACGCCTCAACACCTCCGAAATTATTCTTGGTAAAGGTCTGGCACTCAATCACTTTCTTGCTAATATCCGTATATGTATATTGGTATTGTTTGTCGTTCTTCACTATGGACGACGTTGTTAGTGCCTGGGGTGGGATTGTAGGCCATGGACAGTTATTGACCGATCCCGCCGAGTTGGTAGTGGTGACTATCGCGATTGTGCGTCCATTGCTGCACACACAACTCGCTCCTTCATTGTTGTCCGGGTCTTCACGGACGTGACAAGGGGGTTCAGGGGCTGCAGTGGTGAGTGCCGCCGCGGTCGAAGACTTAGTTGAAGCGGGGGCTGCCGCCGTAGTTGAGGAAGACGGTAGAGCGCCTGGACACATATTAGCTATTTTCCCGCGATGCTCTTATTCGCACTTACATGCTGCGCCGTCCCTTTTCGTCAACCCAGCTACAGTCGATGCCCATTTTCTGTCGACTGCTGGCGTAGTGTTCAGCTCCTCCCAGACTCTCGCTCGCGCTTCCGGACAACCTTTGTTGCTGTTTCCCGCATAAGGGCTATATTGAACAATGCTAACACCATTCAGGGTTATTGGTACGCCTGCAGGGGAAACCGCAGGGGAACCCGTGAAGGTGCTCGAATCTCCAATATAGGTGCGAATATTGATTGTATTTGGTCGAACATATTTTTGAATAGCTGTTGTGAGGGCCGAGATTTTATCTTGATACTTCAGTTTCTTCTGCTGTGCTGCCGTGGTACTAAAAGAATGTTAGCTTAAGAAAGTTAAGACCTTACCACGGCTGTCACTTACCCTGCGGCTTTGGTAATGATGTATACATCCCCACCCCCATTATCTTTACCAAAAGGATCGCCATGACTTGTCTGCAAATCAAGCAAACTTACAAAAGAATCCGCATTTGCCGGTGCAGCTTTTCCAAGAATATCGGTGGCGATTGTTTTGAAGTCTGCAACGGACCTTTCGACCACATCACCGGCGCCGCTACCATAGCGGTAGTTGAAGGAGCTTCCTCCGTTTATATTATCTGCTTTGGAGGCCTCCCAGAAATGACCGGCCCAGAAACCCGAGTTGCCCTGAGAGATTAGCAACCAAATTTACAAAGAACAGGAGACATACCACGATTATAACACCAGTGCATCCGCTCATACCTTGCATCTTGTAGTTTGTGGCGCTTTTGGGCCATGGGTACCATAACCCTGTCACCCCAATTGGTGTATTTACTGTCTTACCATTTATCTGAAGCGGAATTGTCCATTTCTGTAGCTGATTTGGGGACGGAAATATTCCAATGTTAGAACCAGATGCGAATTCAATACTGTCTTTTATCCCTAACATAAAATTCTCTTGGTCGTTCGCGTCTGGCTCGGCCAAGGGTACGGCTTTTGGAGCCCGTGGCAGCAGAGGCTGCCGGGGCACGGCCGTTGGCTGGGCTCTCTTGTTGTTCACGTCGGTCACGTCGGTCAGGAATGATGTTGTTGTTTGATCTGTGAAAGTTGAGGGCACAGCCGTGCCGACGACGACACCTGACACCGTAACGCAGTCTGAGCATGTTACCGTTACCAGGGTGGAATCATCGGTATCACTGGTCACGCCTGATTATCAGATCAGCTAGGGGTCAAGCAATGCGTTACATAGGTACGACTCACTTGCACCTATTCCGCAGAGGTTTTCAGCACCACTCATTGTGGAACTCTGGGTAGCATTCGCCGACGCCAGTGCAGTGCTTTGGGACCGAGCGACGCCACCCAAGAGACAAAGTCCCCATAATGTATCTCTGAGGAGCATGGTTGCAATGGAAGAAGAACACTACCCCGAGAAGGAAATAACGAACGTATGCCCAATCAGTCTTGAAGTGAAAACTAGGACAAAGCAAAGTGATAAAGTTGTAGTCTGAGTTGAAAGAGAGTGATAAACTTTGTGATAACGAACTAGAAAGATGGCTAGAACTACATATTATATACTTCCTGGATCTAGATCTACCTTGAGTCTTGCTACGAAATTTGTTTACAGGCCCCAGAACAAATGTACTATTCATCCTTTGATCTCCAACGTACAAGGAAAATAAAAATAAGAAGGAAGAAGGATTGAGAGGCTGAGGCTCAGTAACTCATCTCCAATTTCCACGGCGTGATAGTGGAGAAGACTTCTTCATAGATACAACTTTACACATCCTTTGACCACAGTTTTGTAATCCCTGATTGGCCCACAGGTCTCCTGGTCTCAATGTTCTGTGTCATATTAGCTGCCATAAATATCTTTCAGCTATAGTAAGAATAGCTCATCATGTGTTTCATCTTTCAAATCTGTTTTTCTGTGGTCCTAAGTACCCCCTGGGAATAGTCGGCGTTACTATATGAGGATAGGACTGGATAGGACTGTCATCCTAATTTGGGGACGGGACGGGCCACAATGCGAAAAAAAAACCCGAAAATGAACAAAGTGGATATACGAGATACTAGATACAGATCTAGCGTTTTACGGAGCAACCAAACATACGGCGTACTGCGTATTTTTATTCAGGGGCGTGAAATTTTACCGGGGCTAAGCGACTAAGTCTAAAAATGGCCGAAAGTGTTGGATGTGATTTCTCCTCCGGAGGTACAGCGGTTAAATATGGTCAAAATTCTAAATTAGCACTTTCACCCTCTGATCCTAATTGGGAACTCCTAATAAATACAGCCTCTGTAAGCATAGCCTTGATAGGCTTGAAGCTCTGTAAGCACTACCCTAAAATGGGTTAGAGGACGCCCTATACCCCAGTCCTTTCTTTTTTCTTTTTTTGAATTATAATAATACTCAACCCCTGTACCTCTATAGACATGCGGTGTTTCTCTCTCTCTTTCTAGACTTAGAAGTGCCAGTAAGGACAAAACAACATGCTCTAGCAAACAGCTTTCTTCTAGCACAACATGTCTAGATAATCAGGCCCTGATATAGTAATATCAAAATCACGTCTTCGACCACTTCGCGAGACACAAGGTGTAGAGTGTGCCAGCAGTCCTCATTCCCTTTTCGCGGAAGCAAATATAAATCACCCCTCCCCAATCTCATCTGCCGCGGTAGGTGATGCTCTAGAGCCTCTACTGACCCTCCGAAAGCTACGTCCGTGGAGGCTGAGAAAGGATTTCGCCAAGGCACGCAATAGATAATAGATAAGAGTAATAGCTAATTATAGCAATTGGAATACTTTGCATGTCAGAGTATTTACGGAGGAGATCTTACCATATAACATAAACGTTTTTAAGTACTCATGGACCAGAAATCCATAAAAATCCACACTTGTAAGAGGTTCGTCCGAGGTTTCCGCCCCTTTCCCGTGAGTACTCAAAAACATCTATTATTTTATGTGCAAAATGTAACACTGGGCAGCGGATAATTTGCGTGCAACAAGTTCGATCAATGTGTCCGCCATTTGACCTATGTAATCATTTTCCCGTGCTCATACTGGCTTCATTTACAACAACCACCCCGTCCCTCCCTTGCGAAGTACTGTATTATTTCGTAGGCATGTGGAAATCTAAAGCGAGCAAGTGCCGCATTATCCGTGAAGTTGAACATGGATACGACTATGCTTACTGTAGTAATAGATTCATAAATAGAATGAACGACGTAACATAGCACCCAACAGATCAACTTATGGCGGGATACTACATTATAATCCTCATTTTTCTATGCACGGCTACCTAACCTTTATGTAGGACGTCGTCCCCGGAACTTTAAGGAGACTTGCGCTTTTTTCCTTTACCTCAGGCGCACTTAATCCATACCGAGGCTCGAAGCGAGGCACATGTTCAGGGGGTAAACGCCGATTAAGTGCGCCTAGCTTTGTTTTGATTGGTCCTCGTTCAAGCGGCCAATCCAAATCAGCCTTATTATCATCCGTGGAGAGAGCTCAAAGTCTACGAATCAACCCGCGCTCTCCACCCGGGAAATAATCGGCCGATTTTGGCACCCTTCTAAAACTCAAACAGCTTGATATATATAGGTCTGGTAGGTAGCGACGATGGTCTGAATCAACGGCCAATCCAAATCGTCCCCTTGCCAGGGGCTAAGGGTTAAAGTAAGCCTATCCAGGCCGGCTCTGTTAGGTCCGCCAATAGTAGAGGAGCCACGGGAATAAATACGAATATGTCACGCGTTAGCTACCATGCACTACTCCATATTTGGTACTTCGTATACTCTAAATAGGTACCTAGCCTCCTAGGTACATAAATTACCTAAGCTCAGCCTAGCCGTGCATAGCCCTACGTAGCCCCTGAACCACTCCACTCCACTCCATATAGCTTTACCAAGGTACAAAGGTTTCCTACCTTACTCCGCAGGTATGCAACGATCCATCCTTTACACCAAGCCATCCAGTCTCACCAGTTTACTAGAAAGCGCTACTGCTTTTATAACTTCAAATCAAGCTATATACAAAGTTGATATATAAGAATATGGTTATTTTATAGGACCATAATACGGATAAGCGGCTGCTATTCAATTATAATATTCTATATATAAAGTGACGAAGACCTGCTTGATGAAGAATCCTTCTAGACTTATTAATCAGAAGCTGGCCCAATATTCCGTGCGGCTGAGAAGTTTTGATTTCCTTCTTACAAGTAAGTATGAATAATTAGTATTAAACAGCCAATCAAGTGGCTAGGATCGTATTCATATCTACTTCCAGCAGATCACCGTTTATCTATAGAAAAAGCGGGGCTCAAATTCTTTTTCCACGGCACGGAGTACGGAGGAAGGCTCCGGTCAATCAACCCTGTAGTGCGTCTGCGTCCAAGGTTTACGAGCGGAGCCTCAATCCTTCGGAACTACTTCGTACTTACCTGGGTAGGTAGAACTCCAGCATCTGCGCCGCTATTATCATCAACGCCGGTTCAGTATGTCGTTCGTTCTTTATGTCAACCCTTAGATCAGGATTCGCCGCTACATCAACTCTATCGTACCTTGATTCGATCTAATGTTTCTGCCTAGAAGTATTTCAAAGGTCAGGCAGGCACTGCTTCTCCGTCTCGACATACATTCGCCCTCTTTCAACCTCAACTAAAGCAACATGCAGTCGGAGAATCAAGGTCCAATTGAAGAACACCCAGCAGATACACGGCAGCAGATACTCAAGCTACACGAAATAGCTTTGGAGAAATGCTGGGAAGCTTGTGAGACAGGAGATCTGATCCAATTCTCCAACCAGCTCAAAGAGTCCTTTGGAAAGCTCCGTGACGCTGATGTGAAAATTTTGCTAAAACGGATAATTAAAAATGGCTGGTTAGAAGGGATGCGGTGTCTACTTGATCAAGGGGCTGACCCAACCCTGTTGACCGCGTCTATCCTCGTTCGGGAATCTCGTTCTGCTGCAATGCTCCAGCTTCTTGCTGACTTTGGAGTGGACTACAAATCCGGAGATTCCAATATTCTGGCGTAAGGAGAAATAACACCTTTGGAAAGCATCCTTAGCCCATCTGACACGCATCTTAGATCTGTTTCTAGCCCCACTGCTAGCCGCCGAGAAATACTGGATTGGTTGCTGGACCACGGACTAGATATCAATGGCCCTACTAACGACACGGTGCAAGGTACCGACAGATCATACCGCGACAATACCGTTGAGGTTCTTAACGCGGCCGCAGCCCAAGGCGATATCGACCTTTTCGACCATCTTGTATCGCGCGGTGCTCGACCCCACCACAGTAATGCTCTCCACAATGCGGCTCGTTCCAAGAACGCAGTCGCTATGATCACTCATCTGGTCGAGACATACCACTTAGACGTCAATGCTAGTGATGCATGTAACGGTCTCAACGAATTAGACCTAGTCGGGTTCAGAGAGACGCCGAAATATGCCTTGAACTACGCATTAAAAGCCTGCAATACTCCCGCTGCTGAGGTTCTACTGAAGCACGGTGCGAAAATTGGACAGGCTCTGTCGTACGCGATCTCATCTCAGGAGACTTCGGCTGTCAAGCTTATACTCGATGCGGGTGCTGATGCATCTGACGGTCTTTGCAACGCAATTGTTAGCGATTACCTGGAGGCTGCTCAGCTTTGTTTGGAGCATGGCGGTGACATTGCCGCAGGGGAGGCACGAGATAAATTTGTGGCTGGTTTTGGTGGATCGTATACTGGGATGAGCAATGAGATGAGGAAATTGCTGGACGAGTGGAAGTAAGTGAGTTTCTCTGCATCCCGTTCGTCTTGCTAATATGTTTTAGGCATAAACAGCAGGAGAGTCCTAAAGCATAGCCGAAAATTCAAATACACAATCACAGGAACACCCACGGGGTTGAGCGCGATCTAAATGAGCAAGGTGACCGCCGTCAAATCGTCATTGTTCCAACACAACGTCAAACAAAGCACAAGACATATCAATGGTCTAGAGTGCAGAACTCGTCAAGCTTGCTTATCTGCTTCACACTTCTTAAGTTTGGGGCCAACCCACAATGCGAGTAAAAATGGACATGCACTTCAACTTCCGATTATTCAGCGCTCATTGCAATATTTACTTTCTTGCACTCCAAAATTTCGGTTCTAGTTGATGACAGTAAGCAACGTCTTCTCGTAGGATGTTATGAAACCTTCTATTAATCTAAGCACAGTAGAGGTAGATTTCTTATGTTTCAATAAAATGCGCTTTTGATTAACCGCGGGCTTACCCCTGAAGTGCCATCCGCCGAGCCTCGCTTAAATTTTACCTGTGGGAGATAGGAGACACGTGGATTTTATGTTGTTCTACCATGTGTAACTGCCTGCCGGTGCTTGTGTCTTTGAAGAAAGTAGTGAGATAATTTAGATTTCACTCATTCTGCTGTCATGGTTTCATTGTTCTTTGATTGTGTTTACTGCATGGGTAAATGCATTCATCCAATTTCTTCTTATTTACATTTGCATTGTCCGGAGGCCAGTAGTCTTCTAAACCCCCCAGCTCGAAAACCAAAAGCCCCATCTATCTCATCATCATCCATTGTTTATTTAGAAGGCACCACACGCTTCTTGTTGGGTCCCGGGAGAACTGTAATGCCAACCAGGGTCGCAGTCTCCGTCTCCATATTTGTCATTTCCACGGTAGTTGGCTGAACCGAGGTAAGTACCTCGACGGACGTCTCAGTAATTGTCTGGATCGACGTGCTTACCGGGACAGAAGTCACCGTCGTTGGCGTGAGTGTTGATACCATGGTGCTCGTGCTCGTACTCGTGGCCGTGACAGTTTTCGGCCCCAACCCACATTTTGCATTAGCCTGCTCCGTCAGTCCCAGCAGTATGGAGACAGTCACCAGTGCAGCGAACAGCACGGCGATGGCTCCGATCATAAACCATTGCTTTTTATCCCGTCGCGGTTTGCAGAATTCGATCTCGCGCTCGGGCTCTATGTGATAGACCGGTACTATTGGTCGCGGCATCTGCGTGTCTGTTGTTCCCCTTCTGCGCAGCTCGATATCCTCGAATTGGTCGCGAGGCCGAGTCTGAGGCTCTGGAGATGCGTATGGTGGTGGTTCGCTCTTGCGATCTGCGAGAGCTGCAGATAGCTCTGCGGACAACTGCTCTTCAGATAACTCCACGGCGTCAAGTTTAGACATTGAATCCCGGTCTGAGAACTCTGCCATCTTGAGTGATGAACTGATTGGTGAGTTACTGACAGACGTTCTGTTTTAAGAAGAAGAAAGTGGGGAAGGCAATTTGGTTTTGTACGTGCGGATTCCTTTTGTAAAAGACTGGTAGATGTTTCAAGAAAGAATCCGGGAGATTGCGCATGATTCTAGGTTATAGGGGGTTTTTGTGGACTGTTCTGAGAATACCGATTCACTGTTCTTGTTTGTTAGGGTTGGAACATGAAGGTAACTGAGTAAAAGGCTTTGTTTCTCAAGTGAATAATATGCCTTAATTATGATTCGATACAATGAGGTTTTCAGGCTCTCTCGAAAAATAGGGAGTCTTTGGCAACTTCCTGGACTTTGATTATCTGCTATTCCTATATTGTTTTACGGCCGTGTTTACAAAAAAAAGGAAGATTCGTGGTAGACAGAAAAAGCGGTACTGGTTTATTGATGTGCCAGGTGGCGTCGAACAAAAAGTCAATAATAAATGACATTTTTAATGTCTATGGGACTATAAGGCACTACAATAGAGTTTAAGGGTTTATGATTAGCGGTTCCTTCTTTAGCAAGGCAAAACAGCATACGAGTTATTCGTCAAATTCGAAAAATAGTTGTCTAACTTCAGTATCTGAGGACACTTAAGCAAATCTTCTCTTCTACTTGCTTCATTTCAAAGTTGGTTTTCAGTTTAGTCATTCTATCTATCAAGTCACAAATTTCACCTGTCAATTAAATATTTCATTGAACGCATCTATTGTTAAAGAGGATGGATTATTATTGCATGCCAATCTAACGAAACCCAAACCTACCCCCATCCAAAGAAATCTCAAACCTACGCCTGCATAGGTCTCCTCTCCTCTCCTCTCCTCGCCACTGCGCTTACCATAAACCACCGGTAGTCCGCGCCAACAGCTGAGCCGGCTTGGTCGGCGCCGGCGCCCCTGTCGCAGTGCAAGTAAAAAGAGTCGTAGTCTCAGTCACCGTAGCGAACGTCGGCATCGGGACCGTCATCGTAGTGGTATGCATATCCATAGCCGCTGCAGCATGAGTTGACGCATTTTCCGGCTTGTGGGAGCCAGCCGCGCACTTCCCCATTCCCACCATGGAGCCGAGCACCACTGTGGAGATGGCAAAGATCACACAGAGGATGATGATGGCCACCAAGAGCTTCAAGCGGCTGTCCCGCTTCTTGGACACTTTGGCATTGTCGCCGTCGGGGATCCAGGGCTCGCCGCTCTTCTCGTTCGTGTGGTAGTGTGGGACCTGTGGGCGGTTCATGGGGATGTGGGCAGGCACATCGTCTTCGACGATGTGGTCCAGGTCGTTCAAGACGTCGTCTCCCGGACCCAGTGGTGACTTGGTGCGTGCTGCTCTAGTTGCTGCGGTGGGGGCGTGAGGGTGGGAGTCCCCCAGGTCAATGGATTCCATTGGCACGATGTCATGGAGACTGATGGGCTTGCTGAAGGGCGATACGGGAGGTGATTCCTTGTTACCAGAGTTTCGCTTTCTCCATTCTTCTGCCACCGGCATGGTTGTGTTTCGCGGATTCTCGTACTGGTTGGTGTACGGGTTGAAGGTTTGACGATTCATTGGCATCGGGGTCAAATCTCTTGCAGATGGACCAGTGTGAGCCTCTTCGGTCATGACGACTGGAGGTATGCTTGAGGGTTCTGAAAGGATGCTTGTTGTGAAGAAGCTTGAAATTGGGTTTGGTTGGAAGAAGTTCAGATGTTTATATCAATGTTGATGTTGGTGTTTGTATTCAATGGAGGTAGAGTCCTTACTTATAAATTATTCTTAAGATACTGTTTTAAAATACTCACCCGTTGTTTCAATACAATCACAGAGGGAAAACAGAAGCCAAGTTCTGAACAGAAGCTCACTTTGTCATCAAACAAAATGTTTATCTGCGTCAAGCAACTTGGTCGAGCCTCACGCGAAGAGCCGTTATTAACACCTATACTTCTTTGGAATGTGATTACTCGTTTCTCTTTCATATCTAGCCTATTCACTGGACGAGTCATATTGACTGCTTTGTTCATACAGTTCATCATTGTATTGTTGTAAAATCTTCCCGTTTGTTTTGCCTTGTTATTTTAAATATATTCCAAGACATCCAAAAATCAAATGCCCATCCTAAACCGCGATTTCTTCCTTGATCTTCATCCTAAAACCGACAGCTCGCTGCCTCTCCTATCCCCACATTTTCGCTAGAGCATACCTAGTAAAGCCATCCTCAACTCCGCTGTGTGGTACCCGGCGCAGCCGTCACAACAGGGACTAGAACTGTAATCCCCAAACTCGTTATCGTCGTCTCAAATACATTCGTCAATACCGGCGTAGCAACCAAAACGCTCAGAACCGTCGTCGGAGGCACATTCGCCAACACCGGCGTAGGAACCGAAATGCTCAAAACCGTTGTTGGAACTGTCATAGATTGGACTGATATAGCAGTCGATGTGACATTCCGAGGAACAACCTTTTGATGATGCGCATCATCAACCGCTCTAACAATCAACAGTGCAGAAATAACGATCAGAACGAGAGCCAGAATGACAATCGCGGCAATGTAGAATCGTTTCTTATGTGGTGCTCCTTTATTGGGCTTGAAGTATTCCGTATCGAACTCTTTTGAGCGGCGGCTGCTAGTTAGAGCAGAAGAGTGGATTTTCGGGAGGGATTTTCCCGTCGCTTTCATCGTCGGCTCCATAGGGAGGTTTTGGAAGACCCCGTTGATGGGTAGCCCGTGGTAAGATGGTATACGTTGATTGCCCATGGTTCCGGAAGAGGCATGCGGGACTGCTGCTGTTGTACTCGTGGGGATGTCTTTTGGTGGGATGATTGGAACTGCGATGCCGATTTGGGAGACTCTAATTACCCCGTCGGCAGAATCTGTCATTTGGTAGACGGTTTGGTTGAAGAAACTTACTTACAAGGAAGTTATATTTCAGTTAGGTAGAAGTACGTCAAGGTGGGGTCGAAATGTTGGCAAATTCGAAGATTCAAAGAGTTTTAGAAGATTGTGAATGGGGAGAAGAGGCCGTTGATTCATAATAATGTGCAATGTTATTGTTCTCCGTGTTGTGAGAACAATTGCCATTGAACAGGCATTATTCACCAGAACGTTGAAAGGGTTTTCCGGGGAAGTGAACAACGGTCTTTGATGTTTAGAACAACAACAAAAACACAGAATAATCCATTGTGTTCTCATAGTCCCAGGTCTTTCTGGGCCTTTGACTAGCTCTCCGAAACTACACACCTTGAAGTCCACATGTTCAGAGTTGATAGTTGATATTCACTTAGCAGCTGCTCCTATCTAGTCATCCCCCACATTCGCAACATCTAAGAAGTAAACACGAAATCTAATCTCTTGTTTCCTTGATCCTTCGTAGTGTCCAGATATTTCTGTTGCTCTTGCTTCGTCATGGCAGTCCACTTGGCACGATTCGATTTATTTCTATATGTGTAGTAAATCTTTGCGACTGCATTGGCAGCTATGCACGCAACGTTGATAGCTATCAGTTGTTTATTGCCACGATGGTACAGTGGTTTGTCATCTTCACGGTAGATGTTAGAAGAAGCTATGCCGGACAGTTGAATCATGATGTTGTAGATACAAGCGCTGACGGCTCGGGTGCGCACCGTGTTGCTGATCCGACTGCACCAGCCGACCTGGGCAGCCTGCATCGATGGCTGGGCGACAAGGAGGAGAGTGACTGCATATTGGGCCCAGGCAGTGATTTTCGAGACAGATGTGAGTTCGATGATAAGGAGGGGAAGGGCCCAAAGTTGGGTCAATATTCCCATGATGGCTATTTGACCTACTCTCTCGGTAAGAGCCGTAACCCACAAGAGGTTGATGGCGGTGAGGACTGTGATGGGAACGTTGAGGAGCGTGATTTGAAAAGCGTCAAAGCCTATGTGCTTTAGAGATAATGGAACGTAGGCTTTGGGAGGAGAAGCGGGAATTTCAAACAGTATCCCGATAGCATAGACCGGCCATAAGTCGTAGTCCGACAGGCTCTGCCAAAGCATTTTGGGTGTAATAGCTTGTCGGTTATGCATAGAGGATTTGGAAGGGTCGTCCCGAAGTACTTTGTTTGTGATGATCTTCTCTTCTCGCTCGGTAAAGTAGCCATTAGGGGAGAGGAGAGTTTTCGTCTGTGTAGGCCCGGGTACGAGGAAGAAGAAACTCAAAAAACCAATGACGATACTGATGAGAGCCTCGATTAGAAAGAGCCAGCGCCATCCCTCTCGACCTGCAATATTATTCATATGCAAAACCCCATATGCAATAAATGAAGCAACGACACCTGACATGTAGTCCGTAAACCAGAAGAGCGAGAGGCGAAAGGGCATTTCCGTGCTCGTATAGTAATAGGAAATATACAGAATACTGTCTGGGATAAATCCACCCATGAAGAGTCCAACAAAAAATCGACAAGCAAAGAAGCCGGCTCGACTTTGCATGAAGAACTGACCTCCGGCACAAATTGACCAGATGATGATCTGAATAGGCATCCATCGATCAGGACCGATTTTCTTGCCAAGGAGCTGTGAGGGGATTTCTGCGATGATAAATCCCACACGATACATATTCTGGGCATTATTGTAGTCGTTAGTGGAGAGCTTCAAGTCATCGAGTAGACCGCCGGCAACAGCTAAGCCGAGGTTTCCACGATCGATGTTCAACGCAAAGAACATAATGAGGACCCAGAGAAGTATCCGGAGGTCGATCTTGCGCCGAACACTGCGTTCTTCCAAATGAGTCCATCTCTCGCTTGGATCGAAGCGCTTGAAATTCTCATACTCGGGGCTAGGTGCATAGTACTGAATGAGATTGGGGTCATCGAACACACCCCGCTTTGTGGCGATTGCATCCAGGTCGGCTGGTTTGCGGAAGAGTGACTTCCAGGTCCAATTGAAGCTGTGGTCAGATTCCTCAGGCTCGACAAGGTCATTCGTGGCTTTGGCATCTGGAACCTCGCTGGTCGAATGCACGACGTTGTGCTTGCTATCCAACGTAGGCACGTGATTAACGGCGTCGATATCGTGGACCTTTGAGTCTGAAGCCATCGTAGAGTAAAGAGGCCGGGTATCCTACTCTGCGAACAGAGTAGAAAGAAGAGCAAGGTATTTTACTATCTGATCTCTGGTGCGTACCGGTACTTGGATGAAGGTGTGCTTTCTTGCGTGGTGGGCTGTTCTGTATCTGTTCTACCACAACGCGAACCCGTTGCATTCCATGGCTTCATATACAGTTCGTACTGTAGTGGGAATCTCCAAACCCATGCTCTAAGGCTGCAATGGAAACTCGTCATCTTTGACATGAATGGCGACATGTAAAGACGACGAGGGTAAAGCCTCCTTGCAAGATACCGCCGGACGTGATTTATCCGTTGAAAAATCGAGTAGGTCTCAATGTCTGTCGCACTGTAAATAGTAATGGGTTTTGATTACAGAGAATTGCGGTGAGCTTATAGATACCTAGCTTGTAATGGCACAAATAGGTATGGTAGGTAGCATTTACGATTTGTATATGTGCAAGGTAGCGTAGCTCTGTTCTGTGCCTGGCTGCTGGATACCAAGCGACCGCGTTGTCGGGACGAATTAACTTTGCAGTACTCGAGTAGCGTGGGCAGGCGGGGCGGGGCGGGGCGGGGTCTACCTAGGAGCTAGGCAGGTAGTGCAACAGGGCTTTTGCCGGCGCTTGATTCGTGGAAGAAATATATATATCGGGAATAACGTCTTATGTAGGTACTCCGTACATGTTACTGAACAGTCGCAGCCCGTATGATTAGTACCTAAGGGACCTAGCTAATAGATAACATCGAATACAGTACCTCCCTTAGGTACCTAGTACTCACTAGGGAGGTACGACTTGATAGGACTATTGAAAAACATCATTTTCAGTGCTGATGATGGCATTTTCCCAACCCTAACTGGGTACCTATGTCACTCGACTTCTTTGGAGGTTATTATGCTATCACCATAATAATAACAACACTTCCTAGGTAAGGTAGGTAGGTACCTAGATAGCCATGGCGGCCACGAAACGCAACATCCTTCTGCTCATCGCCGATGATCTCGGAAAGAACCTAGGCTGCTACGGAGCACCCGTTCTAACTCCCAATATCGACGCCCTCGCCGCCGAATCCATTCTCTTTTCCCACGCCTTCACCAGCACGGCTTCGTGTTCCAATAGCCGTTCCGTCATATACACCGGTCTCCACACGCACCAGAGCGGCCAGTATGGTCTGGCAGGCAAAGCCCATCACTTTGTCATCTTTGACCATGTCAAGACCTCGCCGGCCTTCTTTCGCGAGCACGGCTACCTGACTGGCCTGATCGGCAAAGTCCATGTCGGTCCGGACCAGGCCTACCCGTGGCACGTGAGGAACGAGAGTACAACCCGCGATGTCGCCTGGGTAGCTGATCAAGCCGAGAGCTTCTTCGACCAGGCCAAGGCGACAGACCAACCCTTCTTCCTCACGGTCGGTTACATTGATCCCCACCGTGATATGACCCGGTCTGGCTTCGGCAATCAGGATGTTTTCGATACCAACATTCGGGATGTGCCTTACGAGCCGGCAGACGTTGTGGTCCCGGCATACATTAGCAACTTGGAGGAATCACGATTTGAGTTCTCTGAGTATTACCGCTCCATCAGTCGTCTTGACCAAGGCATCGGCATGATTCTCGAAAAGCTACAAGCATCGGGCCTCGCTGACGATACCTTGGTCGTCTTCCTAAGCGACAATGGTCCCCCTTTCCTAAATTCCAAGACGACCCTATATGACGCCGGCGTTCGCCTACCCTTCATCGTTCGCAACCCCCAGGCTAACCCCAAGGCCAAAGGTATCGAGAACCCTAACATGGTCTCATACGTCGACATCTTCCCGACGTTTCTAGACTGGGCCGGAAAGGCGGAGCAGGCACCCACGGGTCTCGCAGGCCAGTCAATCCTGCCGATCTTGGAAAAGCCCGAGTTGGTGCCCGAGTCCGACTGGAAACACCACGTATTTGGATCCCATACGTTTCACGAAGTCACCAACTACTGGCCAACCCGCTTTCTCCGGACCCGAAGGTACAAGTACCACCGGAACGTCGCGTGGCGATTGGACTTCCCATTCTCCGCTGACCTGTACGGCTCCTTGACGTGGGACGGAATCCGGCACTCGCAACCCCAGGGCAAGGAAAGAGATATCATGGTTGGGCCACGCAAACTGCAGGATTACATATTCCGGCCCCCGGAAGAGTTATATGATCTTGACGAGGACCCTCTCGAGGTGGTCAACCTTGCCAAAGATGAAAAATACCAGGACAAGTTGAGGGAATTCAGGGGACGGCTGGAGAAGTGGCAGGACGATACGTTGGACCCGTGGCTCTATCGAGATGGAGTTTCAAAAAGATTCATCCAGCATCATCTGGATGCGGGTATGATTGTGCCTGATCGGTTCGATTTGGATTTGAACAACATCAGGATTAGATGAGCAGGCATGACCGAGAAGCGTTTAAGTTTTGCAAAGATACGACAAACAAGTAGACCCAACGCTAACAGGATCAAGAGAATTACTGCGTAATAAATACCTCTTCGAGTGTACCTAGATACTTCAATACAGGGGTCAATATCTGACAAAGAAACAACCAAGAATAAAAAATAAGCAGTGAACCTATGCGAGAAATAAGTTTAAAATAACAAAGCCAAAACCATCGATTCGCTAGATATTTCTACAGGCGATAAAATTCTCAAAGCTGAATATCCCAGACATCCGCAGATATTAAAGGAACTCTCCTATCTCGGGTGTCATTGTACAACTCACGTCTATTCTTTTAATACAATCCACCAATCGAGTACAGTAGCACCACCTATCTATACATGCCCATCCCCTACTTCCTCCTACCCACGATCCTCTTCTCCTTAACAGCAACCGACCTCTTCCACGCCTTCCTCCACGCCGTCCACCGATCCCTAGGCTTG